TGTGCAGAAAATACAAGCTTTTCAGACCAACATTGTCCATTAAAGCAGGCACACATATAAAATGCTGGCACAGGACTTTGTAGAAAACTCTGCCATCTTTAAAATCACCATGAAATCAAAATTGATTTTTTTATATATTGCAGGATTCATTATAATAGTTTATTTGTGCACATTTTATTTTTATATTCATGTACCCTCTTAATCTTTAATCAAAATAAATTCCCCTCCCTCTTACAGCGAAACATCTTCTCTTCTCTGATGATGTGTTAACTGGCGTGAGGGCGGGGCAACCTGTCACTCAAATAAGATCAACCAATAGCAAATCACAACCATCCAATCAATTCCCAATGGATAAAAATCAAGTCCCGCCCCACACTTTTTCTTGTTCCATCTCACTCGAATATACGTCACAATAGGGAACAAAAGACTATCGCAACCTCCGTTTCAAGCAGACTTTAACAAAGTGATAGCTTTTAGCTCCCAATAATTGTTTAGTACACTCAGCTCAATCTATTCTGCAGGGTTTAGAAGGAAAAAAAAGTCTGCAGAATCCATCTGCAAGTAAATAGAGTGTGTAAGTCTGTCTGTGTTGGCAGTAAGTCAGACTGAGCTGTGTCAGTGCAAATCCATTAACAATAATGCAAGTTTTCCCATCTTCGATGCAACTGTCCATGTGTGCTTAATCATGGGGTCCTCTTAAATAAAGCCAGTTTATGGGAAGATGTGCCTTGATGAAATGAATTGAACAAAATTATGCTCAAACATCTCCAGTTAGAGACCTGTGGGGTTTCTCTGGTACTGTTCACATATTTACTGAGCAGAAGTCAGTTGTTATAGGTTGCTGTTCTTGCTGGCCTCGATCCCCAAGGATTGAGCAGGCCTTTGTCCACAAAAGTGAAGGATTCCTTAGGTCAACAAGGTCTCTGTGAAATCCACAGCCAATTACTTCCTGTAAATGTCAGTGCAAAGTGAAGACCACTGAATACTGATAAGGTTACATGCCCTGTTATCAAATTCCCTCACTGTAAAAGCGTAAACACACACCTGAGAATGATATATTAGTCTTACTTCTTATTGTGGATTTTGGATTCATAAGGCAAAAGTTTTTGAGATGTTGTTTTCAGTTCATGTCTTCACGTTCTGGATGTAAAGTATATTCTCTCTCCATGCATGTCTACCCATTACTATGTGGCCAGTGGCGTTTATGAATTCCATATTACTGTATGTAGTTGGTAGTATAACTATATAAACTGTACTGTAATCTCATGGAATATTCACATTATCTACTACAAAATATGCAGTAAGAGAGAGCACTGGCTGAATTCAGAATGACATTTCTCTTCCTAATTCTGTATATAGAGTAGAATCAGTGTTTTATTGTTAACTAAATTAAAGCTCAAATAAAATATCAAGATGATAAATGTTGTCTTGGCATCTAACTGAAATAAAGTACTAAAATTACTAAAAACTAATACTTAAAATAAATATATTTCTTCATAATTGTGTGCATATACAGTATGTAGCATATACATATTTCCATATTAATGTGAATATATATATATATATATGTATCAAATATATTTATATTGATAAAAAATATATGTATCAAATATATGTATACACACTGTACCACATGTACCTTTATATATTATGAAATGTATTATTGAATAAAATATTACATACGTTACAATATATAAGTTTCCAAAATATGAAAAGCAGCAATTCCTTATGTATCATTATTGTAATACATTAAGACAAACGCTAGCTATTAGTCTGTATATTTTTAATACACATTAATTGAATATATTGATAATTCATATATAGGCTAAGGAAATATATTTTTCTTTGCATAAAAGAATAATGGCCCTCTTGCAAAACACACAAAGGCTTGTACAGCTGATTCCATTAGAGATTGGCAATAATTGGCATGCTGCTAAGCTAACAAAATGATGGCCTAACATAAATAGTACCTAAGTATCTAAACATGTCTAGGAAATGAAACACTGGGTAAAATAGTAATTGTACCATTAAGTAATTATTGAAATGTATTTGTAATCTGCATTTCTGTCTACTTTCAATCTTTTTTTTCACTGAGCTTGTTGCAGTAGCCTACATTTTTAAATCATCTTTCTGTGAAGGACACATGATCCTGCGTTAGAGTTTTTAGTCAAAAAGCAATATCTGAAAAGTGTAGTTTGCTTATAAGCCCATACAATGCTGTCTAGCTAGGTAGCTCAGATGCTTTTGGAACAGAGCTTAAACTGTGTTGCAGGCAGTAAGTTAGTATTCCAGTCTTTCCCAGAGACTGTTTTTGTGGACTCAACAGGGGTATGATTCATGTCCCTCAGTTGAAAGGCTGGACAAAAGGCCTGACGATTTAATTTATCACAACACCCCAACCCCACGGCCCTTCTGCGGGCATTTACTCACTCAACGTAATTATTTCACTTATCATTTCAAAAGACTGCTTCTGGCCTCCATCGCTATTCATACCACAACAGCCAAAGAGCCAACTGCCATTAACTGCTGTGATTCATTTAAAACTCCATTTAAAAAGCAGTGAGTGGAATTCCGAAGAACCGATAGTGACAAGAGAAAAGGACAGAAAGCTTCAAGGCACAAAACCCTGTCACTAAATCCATTATGGTGCACTAGCTGTGTGCAGACCCTAACCAGACTGCACTTCTCCAAACAACCTGACACTTTAAAGAGTATTTTTGCATTTAAAAAGTTTTTGAAGTTCTTAGAATTGCTAAATAAAATTGGGGGGAGGGGGTGACATTAATGGCTTGTGAACTCTGTGAAGTAACCTTAGAATTCAGTAAACTGAAAACCCAAACATTATAATCTATTTTCCCTCCATGGAGTTTCAGCGCTTTGGGTTTTTGATTTAAGCTAGAAGTCAAGACGCTATTCCTATTAATAAAAGAGAGATGGGGGGGGGGGGGGGGGGGGTGGGGATAGAGCCACCAATTTCGCGCCAGTCACCTTCAAGCAAGTACACTAGTGACCTCTTGTGGCTGTACTGAGGAATGCAATGACCTATACCAGCACTGTAAATAATTGTATCCATTAAAACTTGTCTTTGATCACCAAAATTACATATTTAAACGTTTTTTCCTGTGAGAATTTTTTTTCTTCATGCCTTAAAATAGCTTGAATGCAACTCTACATCCATGAATATGCTAATTAGCCCCGCCTCCTCCACTTGCTCACACCAGCTCAGAGATTCAATGGGCCAACTTACTGAGGTAAACGCTGCACAAACAATGGTATCGCTCTTCACAACGTCGGACACATTACGGTAATTAATATGATTAGCCTTTTGCTTGACTATGTTATCAAACAGCTAATAATGTGTTGCTATATGTTACCTGTTCGCCATCTCAGTCAGGCAGGCAGCTAAGTAACAATCATCAGATTGTCAGTGGAGAAAGGAATATTTGATCATAACATCGTAATATACATCATACACCCACCACTATATTGCTAAATCTACCCAATTTTTCATATCAACAGAAGAATATACCGGGATTACCTGGCTTCTCTTGACCCCCTGGTTCGCAGCATAGCTAATGGTATGCTAAAGCCCTGCACATTGATGTGATTGGTTACAAGTTGGTTTGTGACGTCAGAAACACCGGCGATTTCAAAACGCGTTTTTAAAACTGTCTTTAGATCACTGCAGTTTTAAAGAGAAAATACTCAGCAATGGTGTTTACTTATGAATCAAGAGCAGATAGGAGCCCAGGCCCAGACCTAATCCTCTCAATAACTACATCCAAATGAAGACCCAAAAATCCAGATCTAGTCCAAAGTCCAAGAACCATTTTTTTGGTCAGTTTTAATGAAATTTTCCATAAAATATAAAGAAAGCTTTGTTTTAACACTGAAAAAAATTATATGATCAATAAGTTGTGACAAAATAAGTTTTACATTACATTAACTCTTCAAAATAAGTTAAGCCTAGGTTTTTTTTTAAGACAGTGTAATGTAATTTAAGTAGAAATGACTTAAACATCCAAGTTGATTGTACCTAAAAATTTAAGGCGGAAACTTTTTTTTTTTTTTTTTTACATTGAAGACTCAAACAAAGACAAATAAATGAGTCCCAGGCCTATAGACCAAAGTTATAATGTGGTCTTAAGACCAAAATCATAACACTAAGACTCCAAATGATGATCATGCAAAACACTAAATTTACTTAAACAATCTTTGATTTTTCCCCCCATTAAAACACTTTCCCCAGGTTTCACAGACAAGGCTTGAGTCTGGTCCCAGACTAAAATGCATGTTTGAGCTGCTTTAACTGAAAGCAACTTTTTGTGTCAACTTTAATGTCAGTGCCATTGTTTTGTCTCAAGATGCACACCAGTAATGTTTTTGTATAAGGCATGTCGATAAAAGCGACTTAAATGTCCTAATTGAACTAAGGCCTAATCCTGGCTTAGTCTAGCCCTGTCCGTGAAACCGGGCCTATTTCTATATAAACAGCCACTTATCTCAGTCCATCCCAGAGTTTGTTTGCATCCTTCATCTGGCGGCCCTGTTTCCGCTGTAGTTACGCCCAAAGGACACAGTAAAACTTAGTCTCAAATCTTAGCTCAAAGCTCTTCCTTGCAGACAGCAACCAGACCTGAAGGTCTCTTCCTTATCTCTCTTATGCATTAAACAACCAAATTAACTAATAAGAATGTGAAACTATGAGAAACTAACATCTGATTAAAATGTTCTTCTCATCAGAGACAATAAAAACACATTTAATTTATAAACTCATGTACTTTGGAAACATTTTATTTATTCATCATAGGTTTTGACTGCAATGGTCTGAAAGGAGACAAATGGTGCTTTGGATTGATTAGCTTTTCATCAGTGCTTAGTTATAAACTTTACAAAACTTCAGCAGTTTATTTCCTTTGGACATCTTAATCATTATAGGTCAAAGTGTAGTTTTCCACTGATTTCTTTACACAACACACACACACACACACACACACCAAACACACTCACGCATTACTCAGCAATACCAGCTACATTCATTTAATAGATGCCGTGCATATATCCAGACAGACATCCATGCAACGTGTGTACGGGTCTGCTATTAAAGTGAATATACAGTGCAACCATTCAAAATGTGATTATGTTAGTCTTTCATTATTTCCTTCAGTTGATCAAACTCTAGTTGTTTCAAGCATATATTTCAAGCACACGGGGGAAAAAGACTGAGCATGCCCAGATGAGGCCCGAGGTGACAATGTAATTGGGAGATTCAGATTCATTTGCCAGATTTTTGAGCTTTCTGGGCCGATTTAGTCACTTTCCCACTGCCGCCGATCTTCTTTTCCACGCTTTTTATGACACCGACTGCAACAGTCTGTCTCATATCTCTGACAGCAAAACGTCCTAGGACAACACAAAAACAAAAAATATTTTTGTATGAAAATTGATGAAAGGCCTAGTGGTGTGTGTGTGTGAGCTGACTAAACTTCAACCCAATCACAGCTATCTATCAGGATTGTGCATTACAGAAACAAGATATGCTATAAGATTTTAGGGGGAAAAAATAATGAGAACAAGATGCAATAAATATGATATCGCAGCAGGTCAAAAGTGATGCGAGACAGTATAATGAAACAAGCCTAATAACCAGTTTCAGTGGAATTGCAGAATCAGAGGAAATGTAATCCAGAGAGAGAAACATGAACATCATGAACTGATGTTTTCGAAAGGAAGATGTGGAGGCTCACATCACTGATGAGTCAGACCTTTAACCTGACAACGATTGCAGTAAATCTCATTAATCATGAGACTGAGTGACCAACGGTAATGTAAGCCTGAGACGCCAATTCCAAATAAGTATGACAAACCTAAATGCGGTTTGCTTGTTTCTTTAACAAAAATGGATCATGTCTTTTTTTATAAAGCCCTCAGATATAGAAATTGCTTTACCAGGCATGGAAAAAACTAATTAGCAGAGTTTTTGAGCAGTGTGACAATCTATGCACAAGGTTTTATTATATCTCCTCATTATTATGTGTAGACTTAATACAAATTGCAACAGCCATTTTAAGTGATGTTTTTTATGTTAAAATAACTTATTCGATCCCTTCTTTCACTGGCGTTTTTTTTTTTTTTTGTAGCTGTTACATGCCTCAGTTAAGCTAATTTCCATTAATATTTTCAACCCCGTCTATCTTACCATGATTAAAATAAAGCAGCCCCAGAAATATATTCATATTGTTAGAAATGCTGAAAAATAAGTCAAGCAAAACAAACCATGAAAGAAAGCAAATCCAAACAAATAAAATAAAAGCAAAACAAAACTAAAGACAGTAGGAAAGCAAGGGAAAACAAATAAAAAAAGCTAAACAAAAAGCAAAGCAAAACATCAAAGAAAATAAAAGAAACACAAAACTACAGACAGATAAACTAAAACAAAAAAAAAGCAAAGCAAAACAAATAAAAACTAAACAAAACATAAAAGAAAGCAAAACAAAAGCAAAGCAAAATATAGAAAACAAAAGCAAAGTACACTGTGATTCATAAGTATTTACTGTAAGGTTTGGAACCGGACACATACCCAGTGGAGGATACTGGGAGAAGCTCTCAACACACATTGGTTTTCCTGGGATCATGTCCACAATGGCGGCATCTCCAGACTTCAGGTTTTTGGGGTTGTCTTCCAGCTTCTTGCCTGAACGGCGATCAATCTTCTCCTTAAGCTCAGCAAACTTACAGGCAATGTGAGCGGTGTGACAATCTATGACAGGAGAGTAACCTGCACTGATTTGACCTGGGTGATTCAAAATGATGACCTAATAGAGAGAGAGAGAGAGAGAGAGAGAGAGAGAGAGAACAAAAATCTAGATATCAAGAAATATATCAAGATAAACAAACAAGCTGACAAAGAGTGTTGTCCCACCTGTGCTGTAAACCCTGATGCTTCCTGGGGCGGGTCTGACTTACTATCCCCACACACGTTACCTCTTCGTATGTCTTTTACAGACACGTTCTTCACGTTAAAGCCCACATTGTCTCCCGGCAGAGCTTCGTTCAGAGACTCATGATGCATTTCTACCGACTTCACCTCTGTAGTGATATTGACTGGGGCAAAGGTCACCACCATACTTGGCCGCATGATACCCGTCTCCACCCTGCCCACCGGGACGGTCCCTATACCTGAGGAGAAAAGACATCTTTGAATAAGCATGTTCTGAAAACACAGTGGCGTAGCGAGCCAAAAGCTTTCTAAACTCAAAATATAACCACAAGCTGATCTTAAAAATGACATCACCCCATAAAATGTGGTTTTGATTTGAGTGGGTTAATCCCACCTCCGATCTTGTAGACGTCTTGTAGGGGTAGACGTAAGGGTTTGTCAGTGGGGCGTGTTGGAGGCATGATGGTATCGAGAGCTTCCAGTAGAGTAACGCCACTGGCATGCTGCTCCTTCCTGTCCAGCTTCCAGCCTTTAAACCACGGCATCTGCACAGCACAAATGAGACGATTTTATTAATCAAATCACTAGCATTGTGCCAATAGTTTAATTGAAAAGTGCTGTATGGTATGTAGTCTTTGTAGAAAACAAACACAAACACACACATGCCAAGGTGACTCACATTAGAAGACGGTTCCAGCATGTTGTCGCCATGCCAGCCTGAAATCGGGACGAAGGGTACGGAGGCTGGGCTATAACCGATCTTTTTTATGTAGGCACTGACTTCTTTAACAATCTCATCATAGCGTTTCTCACTGTAGGACGGCTCAGTGGAGTCCATCTTGTTGACGGCTACAATCAGCTGCTTGACGCCCAGTGTGTAGGCCAGCAGGGCGTGTTCCCTCGTTTGCCCATTTTTAGAGATGCCCGCCTCAAATTCACCCACTCCAGCTGCAACAATTAGAACAGCACAATCTGCCTGGGAGAGAAAGGATGAGATCCACAATTAACTTTTGCATGGATCACAGTCTACAGACATAGTTCACCTACAAATGAAAATTCCCATCCAAACCCATTTTCCATCATATTTGGTATATGTAGGAGAGAAAATTTTGAAGAATCTTTGGAGAATCTATGCATTAGGTAGGGATGTTCTCACCAAGCATCACTATTCTTGTACATTCTTGTAATTGAGTCAGAACTGTCACTACCTGAGACGTCCCAGTGATCATGTTCTTGATGAAGTCTCTGTGTCCTGGAGCATCTATTATAGTTATGTAGTACTTGGTGGTCTCAAACTTCCAGAGTGAGATGTCTATGGTAATTCCTCTCTCTCTCTCTGCCTTCAACTTGTCCAGAACCCAGGCGTACTTAAAGGAACCTTTTCCCATCTGCCAAAACAAAAATATGTGAGGGTAAAAAGGGAAAAATCCCTTCACTGTGTCCTCACAACTGGCTAGAATAATAAATAAATACCCCTTACACATCTAAGTGGTTGTAGGCAGGAGATGATACGAAATATGAAGCTTATTCAATATCTATTAAAGGTTTATTTCCAGTGCCTGGCTTACTGGAACTCCGGTAACTTGTTTTTCCTCTGAAGTGCTCATTGTAGCCCTATGAAAGCTCATTGGGAACTTCAAATTGTGCTTAATCCCGGGTTATCATTGTTCTAAACCCCGCTTTTTCCCCAAGTAGAGAAACATTTCACTCTTGTAACCTGTGAACCCTGAACTGTCAATTGGACGGTTTAGGTTCAAATCTTGCTAATGATCTTACATTATGCCTCAATATTGTGCCCTTGAGCTTGGCACTTACTCCAGAGATCTATCCCAATAATAAATCATGTAACAATTTTCACAACGGAAGGTTGTAGGTTTAAGTCACATGTGCCTCAACGCTATGCCTCAACATTGTGTCATTCAGTAATTCACCTACTCCAGCTGACTGTCCTTGTAATCTCTTAATTTTGACAACAGAAGGTTGTAGGTTTAAATCCCATAAGGGTCCATACGCTATGCCTCAACATTGTGCCATTCTGACTGTCCTTGTAATAAGTTTCTTTACAATTTTCACAACTGGAATGTTGTAATTTCAAATCCCAAAATGGTCCATACCTTGTGCCCCTGAGCAGCCAGACAACTCTCACTCTTAAAAATTGCTCAACAGTTTTCACAACAATCCAACACAGTCCTGCTCTGAAAAGGAAGCTTGTAGGTCAGGGATGGGCAACTTTGGTCCTGGGGGTCCACAGTTCTGCAATGTTTAGTTTCATCCCTAATCAAACACTCCTGCCTATAATTCTAAAGCAATTATGAAGATATAGATTACAATATTCAGGTGTGTTTGATAAGGAATGGAGCTAAACTTCTCAGGACAGAAGCCCTCCTGGACCAGAGTTGCCCATTCTTGTTGTACTGTAGGTAAAAACCCATCCTGAGGGTGACAATGTTCAGTCAAGGTCACTAAAGCACCTAATCTTTGGTAAACCTATAACACAGACCCAACAGGCTTCTCTGCGCCTACATAGTGGTTTACCCCCTACGTTTTGCTGTATGTAGAACAAGTTACCCTCAAAGACAGAGGTGAGGTGTCAGACCCATTGGGATTGCACTTTACTCAGGCCTCATTCTCACAGTCTAGTGTGTGTCAAGTAGACAGAAGTGCAGGGCCTAACTAATGGTTCTGCTTGCTCCAAAAATCAATTTTTTCCTTTTAATCTCCAATGGCATCTTAAAATGAGTAAATGTCTTAATGTAATCATACAGCAAGTCTCCCTCTACTCTCCAGTGCATGAGCGGAGATGAAGGCATAGTGTTATGCATGATGAGAGTCTTACAATACACACTGTAAGTGGGTTGGAGTTACCCATCATTCAGCACAGACCACAATTCTCAGAACGTGGCTATGCCGGTGAGTTCACTTACATTTTAATGAAAGGTGCAATTGAACTCCTGGTTTTCCCTTGATCAATGTTTATCACTTTACCAACTTCGTACAGCAATTTGACTCAAATTCCTGAGAAAAACTCTTGAGATTCTGCTCACCTACCTCAGCAGCCTCTTTTTCAAACTTCTCAATAGTTCTTTTATCAATTCCTCCACATTTATAGATGAGATGGCCAGTGGTGGTTGACTTTCCAGAGTCAACATGGCCGATGACCACAATGTTGATGTGGATCTTCTCTTTCCCCATGATGACAGGGCTAATAAAGGATGGGAACTGGTGGAGCTTTCTTCTGTCTACAGCCGTAGCAAGCGATGCAAAGAACATTTGTACACAAAGACACAAACATGTACTTTCATCCTGGAACACAATTCAGTATTAGACAGTCTTCAAAGCAAAGCCATTCAAGGTAATTTCTGACCAATAACATATGACCGATGACTTTGATCTCATTAAATGAGATCAATAGTTTACCAAGAGATCACAACCTTGCAAAATTACAATCTCAAAACATTTTTTATTATTATTCAGACCAAAGAATCCTAAAATACTATCTCCTATCATTTTCAAAACTCTTTTTCATACAAGTATATATATGGACATACCCTTTTTTCTCAAGATATATTTATCATCTACAACAATTATTGTAGTGTCAAGCAGGGTGTTTTAAATCACACCATTGTGGGGAAGAACTCAAATGTGCAGAATATGCAAATAACTTTCAGGCTTCTTGTCAAAAACAGAGGGTAGCTTCACTGCTAAGGACAAACCGGGGACTCATGCGCAACTATCACAAAAGCCAAGTCTTTGATGCTGAAGGAAACAACATGAAATTAAGATGCAGGGGTATGTTAACTTTTGAACAGAATGTGTCAATTTGTCTTGATTACATACATCAAATGACAAGTAAACATCATGTCAAATAGCTTCATCAGGGAAGTACAAAATAAAAACACAGAACAGAAAAAAGCTGTCATCTGTTATGAGTAGTTAAAGTCTATCAGCAGGAAGATGTTTGTGGCCTCTTACCTGCCGTTGACAGACGGACCCTGTTCTCCCCTCAGCAAACTGACAGTCTGTGCTCCTGCAAAGGTGGCGGTACAGTCCAAGTCCGTGTGCGTAATCAACTCACCCCACTTTGATACAGCAATGCGGCACTCAAAGTGGGGGGGAGGCTGGTGGTGATGAGGGACTGCAGTGAGACAGGTGCAACAGCAGCAGAAACAAGCTGAGAGGAAGAGTAGGAGAGATGGAGGAACCAGTGGAATAGAGCAGTGTTCAGTGACTCAGCATGATCTCCTGAATTATCTCCTGCTGGAGAAGAATCGGATTGGTTCGCTATGTGGGTCTGAATGCGCGTTTGAAATATGACACGTCAATACAAATTCGTAATATAATTTTGTTTGTATTATCATTGACATTGTTTATTACCAGGTTATTCTAGATGGAACAGCGTTTAAACGATTTCAATGATTAGTTAGAACAACATTATTCCTATGATAATTTCCTACTAAACTTCATTCATCTATGAAGTATATTATTATGCTCATTTTGTACAGGTACTTTAATTTAATGTGCATTTTGGTCATCTGAAAAAAAAACAAGCAGATCACAGTAGAAAACATTAAGTTTACTCTCTCAGACTTCATTTTGCCACTTCTACAGACCACGATCCTTCAGAAATGATTATAATTTGATGCTTAAGAAACATTTATTATTATAATCAATGTTGAAAACAGTTGCACTGCTTAATATTTGTGGAAACTTCTTGTGGAATCCTGATATTTTTCAGGATTCTTTGATGAATAAAAACAGCATTTATTCGAAATCGGAATCTGTTGTACTTGTAACAATGTAAAAGTCTTCACTGTCATAAAAAAATCTGATAAAAAATAATTAGTGTGCCCTTGCGGAATAAAAGTATTAATTTCATAAAAAAAAAAAAAAAACTTTCGAATGGAAGTTTAAGTATAATCTGTTGACAGGAAAGAGAAGCCAGTGTTCCATGAAGCACCCCCAGATAGTTAAATTTTTTGTAAAAAAAACTTTTGGCATCATGAGTTAAGATTTTTTTCTATATGGCTCAGGCTGAGAAATGGGAATTAAGAATTCAAATCAGACCAACATTGTTCAGTCAAATTTTTAATCAGGGACAAACTCCTGATGCGCTCAACATACATACGGTCAAATAATTCAATCAAGCATGACTCAGAAACAGTGTAAATATCATAACTATTTCCTAAGCATTTGATCAATGACCGTCTAATAGAATCAGCTTATTTCTTACAGTTAATAACAGACGTTTAGCTCAACTTATTTGCAGTGCAAGTCCTAATACATCACACAACAAACTAGTTGATTCTCAGGTCCATCTCAAAAAACGTTGGCTTGGACAAAAATAAAATAAAGCAACCGCTTAAAATTCCCAGAAACGTTTTTTTTTTCCCTTAAAAAAAAAAAAAAAAAAGTTGCTGTAATGTTTCCAAACTCAGCAGAGGAAAGCTTATTAGTTTTTCATACTTTCCCCATCAGTCTAGTCTGATCCTACACAACCACCAAAGACTGTCCTTCCTCTATATTTCTGCCGTCTCTGTCTGAACAGCTCAGAACGCTTAAAGCACAGGAACGCCTCGCAGTGAACCCCTGGACTGCAGATAACGCACACGAACATACCACATCCCCTGCACGTCATGTCATTTCACTTTCACATTGACTCTAGCGTGACCGATATTAGCTACGCCTTTCTCAGTCAGTTCTTTTCAAACATCTGATGTCCCAAGTCCTCCTGCTGCAAGCTGCGGCTACGTCCTGCGGCGCTTGGCTCCTCCAGGGCTGGAGGGGTTGCTGGAGTTCATCACCTTCTCCACGGCTCGGCTCCTCTTTCTCTTTTCCCCGGCTGATTCTTTCGACCCGCTGCCCGTCTCACCGGAGCCCCCCCTCTCGGCCCGATCTCTCTCTTTCTCGCGCCCGCTGCCCGACCTCTCTGACATCTTCACGGAGGAATTGCTGCCTGACGAAGGGAGAAGGGAAGGATGAAACGGGAAAAAAAAAGGGTGGGATAATGGAACACAAAGAAAAAACAGATTAACAACACAATAATACAAAATAAAAAAGGTAACACTTTGTTTTACAGTGTCCTTGTAACACGTCACATGTACTCGCTGTAGTTTTAGCAGTAAATTATGCATAATTACATGCAGCTACCCTAAACCAATCTCTAACCCTACAAAAAGTGCATGTAGTTAATTATTATTACTAAGTACTTAAATGTATAATTAGTAAGGACACCTTAAAATAAAGTGAAACAAAATAAGTTTTCAATTTTCTATCCTAATTAAAAAATGTTGTATGTAATTTCTGCACCATTAGACTACACTAAATGAAGCCTGACATTAGTTTAACCAATAGTTGCAGAACAACCTGTTTGTCCAAACAATGGTAGACAGAGGGAAAACTGCAGAAAAGCATTCATTTTGCAATACAGTTTGGTGATGCTAGTGGCACAGAAATGACACACTTCAACTTCATTTCCATAATATTCACATTTCTAGTTTGGAAAATCATATTTCTCTAATCTAAAAATGCAATCCCAGAATGCAATGAGCTCTGTGAAAAAAATATCCTAGATAGTGGACTAAGAGAAAAAAAAATGGTAATGGTTTTATTCCCATTCAAGATTGTACCCTATGTTTTTGTGTATTGTTTTGTGCCCATTCACCCCGTGTCATAATTACTGTAATTATCAGTCAGTTGGTGTTTTAAATAAGTGATCGAATCCATGGATCTTGTGGATAATGGATATATGGAGATTACTTAACCCGACTGCTCGTGATTATTCTTCGTTTCCCCATGTTCATAAATCCTATACACGTATTCATTACTTGACTCCAAAGTCATTCAGGGGGTGACCAAATATCATAATATTCTCATTTCTGATCATTGCCCTATTTCTATGGGTCTGAAAATTGTGCTACCAAAGGAGGAGTATTGTTGGCATTTCAATCTTAAATAATTAATGAATAAACAGTTTCAGTCTTATATGTTTAAGCCAATTTTTGGAGACTAACGACAAGAGGGATGTTTCAGACTCTTGTCTGTGGGAAACATGTAAAGTAGTGTCAAGAGGTCATAATGCATATGAATCTGCGTTTCTGGCTCTTTTTCTGGTTATTCTGTTAATTGGGAGAAGAGTGTATTCATGCCCTTGGGTGAAGGACTGGATGCTCAGTTTCTGAGCACAGAAACAACGTTGTTTACTTATTTAGGGTTAGTCTTTCCTAAAAATGTTAAACATTTTCAGTCAAAATTTCAGAGAAGTCATAAATAAGCTTAAAATATACATTGATAAATGGAGGGTTCTTCTGTTATCTTTAATGCTATTAAAATGGTCTCTTTGCCTCGCTTTGTTTATCTTTTTCAGACCCTGCCTATACTGTATATTTGCCACATTCTTTTTTTAAACAATTAAGTCATTTTGCCATTTATTTGGGGCTATAAAGCGCATAGAATTTCTAAGGCCCATTTGCAGAAGCCGAAAGAGTTGGGTGGCCTAGCGCTACCGGTTTTCTGTCGTTATTATTGGGCTGCTAATGCCAGGGCTAAGATGTTCCGGCGGATTAGCGATCAAGCTGCCGATAACTTGACGGACATGCATCCCAAGTGGCTGTACATGGAGGCTCGGTCAGTTGTTGGTAGCTCCCAAGCTGCTCTAACCCTGTATCTTACATCGAATTTTGAATCAATTGAAGACCATGTTGAAAATTACACGTCCTTCGGTGCTCCAGCCCATTTGTGATAATCATCATTTTTTTTGCCTGGCAAGTCGGATTAGGTTTTTTTTCACTGTGGAGAGGCAAAGGTCTGACCAAGGTTAAGGACTTTTATATAGATGGGAAAATTTTCCACTTTTGAACACTTGTTTAAAACCTTTGATCTTTCCCAATCACAATTTTTCCAATATCTACAGGTGCACCACTACATAAAACATTATTTTACTGAGTTTCAGGAATTGCCTCGGGATCATTATATGTATGATCTTTTGGGTCAACCTCCTATGACTAAACATTTGATGACGTGGCTTGTTTCTTATTTTGCAGTGTCTTCAGATCACCTCAAAGTAGCATGGGAAAACGATACTGGAATTAATATCTCAAACAAGATTTGGGAAGAAGGACTGAAGCGAATTCATACCTGCTCTATTAAATGCAAGATTACAACTTATACAGTTTAAAGTAGGAGTGGAACGGTACACAGAAGTCACGGTTCGGTTCATACCTCGGTTCAGACATCACGGTTCGGTACGATTTCGGTACAATGGAGGGAAAAGCAAAACAAAAATGCAGAAGGCATTGTATTTTTTAAATAAGTTTTATTATTAAAGGCATAGAACCAGTTTATTTGTAGTCCACTGACAATAGTTTTATATAATTAGTTTATTAATTAAATTAATAAGAAGGCAAAAAGACCTTGCGATATGTTTGCCCATTATGCGGTCACACCAAACGCGAATAGAGCGTCAAACTCGTGTCTATGGTGTCTAGTTTGACGCTAGTCCAACGTGAACGCGCGTTCAGAGCTAGCCGATGGTACAGATTATGTGTCCCTAAAGAGCCCGCGTATCTAACAGTAGTTCCGCATTACATTAATTAATTTGCACGCGAGTTTTATTTATTTTTATACCGTGTATTCTCCGTGTAAATTCGTGCACCGAACCGTGACGCCCATACCGTTTCGGTTCAATACGAATACATGTACCGTTCCACCCCTAGTTTAAAGTATTGCATAGGTTAGACTATCCCAAAACTAAACTCAATAAAATGCAACCTTCAGTTCCCCCATTATGTGATAGATGCAAGAGCTCTGATAGGACGCATGCTCATACTTTTTGTTTGAGATTTCTGAGTTTTGGAAGAATATTTTTCAGTGGTACTCAAATGTTTTTGGAGAAGATATATTAGTCCAGCTCGCTTTGTTTGGATGTTCTGAGTGACCCTATATATGACCCTGACCATATATACTCTTTTATGAGACTTCAATCTGTTTATTGTTTGTATATAAATTTAATAAAATGAATAGATAAAAAAACGAATTTACTGCTGGAGTCAGTCTTTTTGAGTGTTTTCACACGATGCTGTAGGGGTCATGTGATTGAAGTTGGTGCTCTCAGAAAATTCAGAATTCTACAAGGTAGAATGAAGTCAGAATCTTGTAATTACGAGTGTGCAACGCGGTGTGAACGTGCCTAATGCTAATTACCTTATTGTGTTGTTAGCTTAGCAATATGCTAATGCAACATTATTTTACTCTTTGAATGTGTTATTTGTATGTCGTTACCTATGTAGAGGGTTCTTAACGCATTTTGAAATGACAGTACAATTTGCCTTCTTAAAGGGTTAGATCACCAAACAATGAAAATGATCCGATAATTTATCACCCTCGAGCCATCCTAGGTGTATTAGGGCTGTCACTTTTTATTCGATATTCTAATATGCATTCGAACATGACGTGAAATATCCGTAATCGAACTATAAATAAACTAACCGGTTTTTAAAGTGCCATGTTTAGCGCGTTTGTTTTTTATTTTATTGTTTGCCATCTCATCCAGTAGCGGGCACTCTAAACGTATTGTAGCGTAAGCTCATGACCAAATCAAGCGAATAATAGCCAATAGCCACCCTGTTTTGAAAATGGAAGATAACGCACAGAACGGCCAGCCTGAGCGGATAATTTCTACCCCAACTCATCTAAAAATTAGTGTCTGGAAATGGACAATCCGATTGATGAATCCGAACACGGTGTTTACATGAACGATACATAAAGTAATGTGGTTATATGTCACATTCAAATCGGAATTGATTTTTTGACATGCGCACACTGCACGAATATGCCGCTGTTCGCGCATAACTATTCTCCTCTATTGGTTCTTTATTTGTTTTAAACAGCAGACTTATTATTTATCCGTTTCTGGTCATGATTTGGAGACGATGAGCATGATTTGCCGTGCTGCTTATATTGATCACGGAGTATAAAACCCCGCGCCCAAAACCAGTCGTCTGTGGATGAGAATCTGAAACAAGTACTGGTGGGATGTTGTTCTGCTCCACTTCACAGACGCTGAGTGAAATGAGATTTTTTCAATAACGGAACACTCATTTATTCTCTGATGACACTTTATTCAACAGGAAGAACAGCTCGCTCCGTGCGTAATACGTCATTGCACATGCGCAGTCCTTTTAGTTTCGGTTTTCAATCCGATCAAGTGTTTACATGTTCTCTCGATCGGATTACAAAAGGAGTAAACCATCGGATCGATTAAGGTGTTTACATGAAGGTTTTTTAGTCCGATTGAGCCGTCAATCCGATTATAAGGGTTCATGTAAAGACGCGCAAATACCTGTGTGTGCCAGGCACGTGTGCGCGCTCCGAGCGCGTGTTCTCCACCGCGGGGAACATCGTCAATAAAAAGAGAGCCGCACTTGATCCAGATCAAGTTGATAAATTGGTGTTTCTAGCAAACAATATTAAGAAATGAATTAGGTTAGGCTATATAGGCCTTACTCCTGCTGCTGTTTAAGTTGTCACGTTATTGTTTGTGCCGTGCTGTTCCGCTTCAGTTTTTTCCCATATGTAGCCTAATTTTGTGATTGGCTATGCATAGTGGCACTTCATATAGATTAAGTTGATAACTTGCTGTTTAAAACATTCAGTAAAAAAAAAAAAAGTTCAGACAGGCCTGAGTCCTGTTTATGACTGTCAGACTGTTAATAAATGTGTGATCTCCGTTACGGTGTTTTTTTGGGGGGTTTTTTGGTGGGGGTGGGGGGCGCTCGTAGATATTCGAATATATTCGAATACATTGCTTGATATTCGATATCCGTTCGAATTAGATTTTTCTCAAAAGTGACAGCCCTAAGGTGTATATGACTTTCTTTTCATCAAACGATATTAAATAATATCCAGGCTCTCCTTGGGCACTAGTCAATGCCATTACAAATCTGGGAAAGAATAGTTCTAGGGTGGCTTTAGGGCGAGTAAATTAAGGGATCATTTTAATTTTTGAGTGAACTATTCCTTTAAGAATAAGTTTTTCTTTTCTTTTTCTGAACCAACTGAAACTCAAGATCCAAGAATGTGCTGACTTTCTAAATATAATAATCTCTTCAAGAAAATAGCTTATGGTGTTGTTAGCTTCGCAACATGCTAACACAACACTACTGAAATTGAGTTGAGTGCGCTTTGATTGTGCTACTTGTATGTTGCTGCCAAAGTAGAGGGTTCCAAATCAGTCACTTATAAAGTTAGTAATGCTGCCTCCTGGCTATGTAGGCTATAAGAATGGGGGAAACACCTAGTTTTGGAACAGAACTTGTATCTGTGACTCTTTTAAAGCCTAGAATTATGTTTAATAACCACATTTTACTGTCTGCTTCAACAACTAACAATTTTCAAATTGAAGGTCGAAAGCATGTGTATTATTTCTTCAACCTTGCTACCAGAAATATTTGAAAAACTGGTGAACCTTTCTGCAAGTTATTTCATTATCATACAGTATATAGCGGTTGCTGTTCAACAAACCTGTCAAAGCAAACCCTCAACATGCCATGCTTCATGCCCCCCATACACACAGAGAACAACAACAACAAGCTAGGGTGCGCAGAACACATAAAAAAAGACAAAAGAGAAAGAGAAAGAAGGACAGCGAAAGAAAGACGAATAGAAAGACGCACATGGTCAGAGGTCTCTGAAGGCTGTCTACAGAGGCCTCTGGTAATGAGCTGGTCTGTATTGAGCTCAAGCTGCAGTTTTGGAACAGAGCGAAACGTTTTCTTCCGTCCATACCTCGCAAAATCCTGGCCAGCCATACTGGGACCCAGACCTTTGAAAATGAGACACAAATGACCAGTGTGAGCCACGCTGAGCTTCACGCCAACGGGAGAACGATCCAGAAAAAAAGTGATGCAATGACGCAGGTTTTAATAGACGTTTTACGTCAAAAAGAAAGAGAGAGAGAAGGAAAGGAAAAAGAAAGGGGTGAGTAGATGAGAGAAATAAAGAGAGTGAAGGAGGAGAGAACCTTCTTCATGGGTTGCAGGCGGGTCGCTCTCTTCTTTAAACTCCTCCTTCACGTCATCTTCTGATCCCACTTTACCTGCGCAGTGACATAAAGAGCTTTTAATAAACAGTAAAACCAAACAGATCAACTGTGGAGGATCACAACACAGAAACGAAGAGCAGCTCACCTTCCTTGACATCCTGTATGATCTCTTCAGGCAGCACAAAGCTCTTTTCTGAGTTTGGAAACGGGAGTATTTCTGATTCATGCTGCAGCAACAAAATGTAATTTACTGATTAGCTTTGAGTAATTTATAGTAGTAAATGTTATTTTTTCCTCAGTGGAAATTGCAGCAATAAAAAAATGAAACAATTAATATTCTCTCATTTTATCTGTCTTATCTTATGTTAGTGTAGAAGGAGTGAAGCTGTTTGTTGTTAGACAAAAAGTCTTGGAAGTTCAATTTTTAGGCTGCTCTGCCTCAGCGGTCTAAAACAGCGCTCGTCAAAATGATCGAGATGGCCAATCAAAGGCGGCGGGTAATATCTTAATATCTTACGGTCACTGTAACAACGCAATGTGAGTTTAAGGAAAGATGCAAGTAGATTTAAGTATTAGACAACTGTTTTATGATAGAAATGTTCAGTGACCGACAGTAAAAGACTATGATGTGAACTACGCAACTTATGAAATTTTGCCATTTTAATTGAACATATTACAGCCCCTCACACTTTGCCTATGGTCAGGGTCCTGATCACCCTGCCAGGGTTTATTTTGTGATCATTTTAGACCTTATATTATATGTATATATGTAAGAGATAATTGAATTATAGAAGCTATAGCTATATCTCACACAAAACTATGAGAAGCTGAATAGAAGCTTCAACAATAACATAAACATCCTAGTATTTGGACATCTGACTATCATAAATGTGTTTATTTGATCAGTGATCTGGTTACATAACGTTTCATTGTTTTAAAAGCCCTACAACTTCAATTCCAGGTTTAGGAAATAATGTAATATTTCTACTGTGAATCCCGGATTTGAACTTTTGGATCCCATATATAATATATGACATTTTATTATGATAATGTACATTGCATGCATTGAATGAATCTCATAAAATAGTTGAGTTGTCTCTTACCAGTGCTTGCATGTCATACATGGTGCTCAGGTGATCCCAGATGACTTTAGACGACACCTGTCTGCCGATGTTCTGACTGAACTTATCACGAATACAGATCATGTGGAAATGACGATTCACTCCTGAAGACAAGAGACAGTTTCCCAAAAGACACTTACCTTCCAGCACAGAAAACACCTTTGTGTTGATGTAGATTAGCCTAGCCATTATGCTATCATGCTAGTTAGCAGCCGCGCTAACGTTTGCTAACATGTCAACAGATATAAACTAGTCAATTGCCTCCGTAAACACAGTATTATTCATTATATTAAATAATCAAATTCTATAATTCTCTACAATAAAAAAAGCCGTCGTACATGTAATCGTTATTTTAAATTGTCTTAAACAATTAGCGATTGGACTCGATAAAGCTAAAGATCACTAAAACCCTTAGATTAACTAAAATGCTTTATCAGTATTTTACAATATGTATGGTGTTGTAAAAAAAACCGCATTATCGATTTTAGATCTTTAAAAGACAAAAAAGGAGCACATGGTCCTTATTTATGATGTTACGTTGTTTCACGCCTGAGGTCCATACACAGAGATCGGGCCTGTTATTCACATCACTCACAAATAAATTCATCTTACCTACGGGTTTGTGACCCAACATGGCGTGAAAAAGACACACTTCTACTTCTTGACTCCATACTATCGATTCATCGGCGGTACAGATCCCGGTTTCTGCTTGTTTTTCGTCGGATGGCACAGTCTCAGCCTCCCCCATGTTTCTGCACTGACACACTCGCAGATGAGAATGAAATGCCTCAGTCACTGCTGCAGCTCTTCATCATCACAACCATCATATACACTTATTGCGTGCTTTCATTAAGTGTCCACCTACTTTACTTGCTTTGTATCACACACACACACTCACTCACTCTCTCTCTCTCACACACACACACACACACACACACAATCACTCACTCACTCACTCCCTCACACTCACACTCACACACACACACCATAATGGCACTCTGATAACTGGTTTGTCTGTTCATCTCCATTAAAAGCGAAGATTTATTAATGTTTATATTAAATTATAATTTCACTTATTGCAATTATTTCTATTTTACTGTATATATATATATATATATATATATATATATATATATATATATTTATTTATACAGTATATATACATATATACACATAGTATATATATATATATATATATATATATATATATATATATATATATATATATATATATATAAAAATATATACACACACACACACACACATTATATAAAGCAAGTGTCGTTCTGTTGTGTTGTATATATATATATACACACACACAACAGAATAACACTTCCTTACAGGGGTTTGTTATCAATTCACATTCACTTAATGCATTGTATATTTTATCGTTTATATTATAGTTATAATATAATATAAACAATAAAAATATACATTGCATAAAATCAAGGTTTGCACTTTTATTTCTTTATTTATATACCTGAATGGCACTCTTTTTTTCTTACAGGGATTTATTATGAATTGTTACTAAAATTGTTAATTTTTATTTCTTTGCCATATTTAACTGTTTAGATCAGAATGACACTCTTTTGCTTACAGGGGTTTGTTATGACTTGTTGTTAATTTCCTGCTATTCATTAAATACATGGATTACCATGAATCAATAGACATTAATGCTAATCGGACGATATTTGCTTATTTTGAGATTGTCTAATTAACAGTATTTAGCAAAATGTGCCTAAACTCTTGTTGATGGATAATGCCATTAAATATATATATTTTTTTTTAGTATATACTGTGTAAAAAAAAAGTTTAAATTCATTAATTTAATTAAGTGTACATCACCTCTGAATTAAATGTTATGAGCCTTACACCACAGGAGACAAATATCCAGCAACAAACAATTTGTTCACGTTGAAAACAAAATAGCTGCACAGCACAATTATAGCCAATGAGAACATATAATATGCAGTAATGTGGTGCAGAGTTTGAACCAATGGAATTTCACCGTGGGCGGGACATTGGGACAAATCACAACGCCTCAGAAAAAGAAACCAAGTGATGCACAAAATGTAATTTTGCTCGCCGCACTTGTTAAAAAGATTTACATTAAAGAGATTATTTTATTGCTTCATTGTGTCCCTACTGGTTAAGAAACAGACAGTATTAGCCCATATCACTAGCATATGGCTAATTATTAGCCATCGGCCACCCTTCTGTTATCAATATTGGCAATGAATGACCACTGAAAAACCCATATTGCTCAACCACTAATATATATATAAAATACAAAAACTTTATTGAAACTTTTTTGACCATTCCAGAAGTGGGAAATGCCTCCGAAGTGTTAATTATTAAAAGATTACGCCAAGTGCAAATGAACCAGAGTTTAAAGCAGTGGTTTCAGGCACAGCCGTGAATCACGCTGCCGGCAGGACAGTTCCACTGCTCGTCATCCACCGGCTCATGCGTACGCCTGCACTGCAGATCTGCAGACGGAGCTTCGGTGAAGGAGCTCTTAGAGAAGCTCACCCACTCTCCGCTGACGTTGACGCCGTACGCCCGGCACAGCTCGGCCGCCAGCGGGTCTTTGAGAGAGAGGAGGCGTGCCAGTCTCTGCAGAGGGTAGCGGCAGTTGCGGCTGCTGTGCCCGTGGCTGTAGAGCAGGAGCAGGTCTCTCCTGCAGGGCAGCAGGTGTCGGTGGACGGCACAGACCTGGATGAAGTCCAGTCTCTGGGCTAGACGGAGCAGCCGAACTGGGTTGCGCTCCGAATGTGCCCTGTTTACAGCCATAGCGAGTTGAACAGCAGGAGAGCTGCGCATTCTCTCGGGCAGCTCAAGAATATGTTGAAGGGCATGAGTTGAACCTGAAAGCATGAAGAAAAGATATGAATGTTTCTCTGTTCTCTATTAGAACTCCATTTTTACACTTGAGAGCAACAAAGTAAAATATGGTAATGTGAAATGTGTGTGGAAATATGAAAATAAATGAGAAAAAAATACTAGAGTCAGTGTTATTTTAGTATTATTTAAATACTATTAGTGTTATGAAGATAATTTGAATTAGCTTTTAAATTTATATTTTAATTTTAGGTTACTTTTTAGTATTTTTCTAATATGCTTTTGTAATATTTGTAGTGTTTTTTATAAATATATATCTAGGTTTTTTATCTATTAATTGTTTTGTTTTTCTCCAGTTTTAGTTAAATTTCATTTAGCAATATTAGTACTACACCTTAAATTATAAACTATTATCTATTTATAATTTTTCATCCATTTATATTTTATCTTCATTTCAATTAACAAAATATTTTCTTAATAGTTTTAGTTAATTAACGATAACAACACACCCAATCCAATTTCAAACTATTATTTTGCTGCAGACTATTATCAGAAAAAAAGGTGAAATATTGAGGATATTGAAAGGTAGTGAACCCATTGTCAATTTTTTCTAAGAGTACCTGTAAATGTATTTTCAGCATATGAAGGCAAAATATAGGGCCCTTTTTTTTTCATAATCAAAAAGCATGTCTAATGAATTGAATTCATTTTTATTCATTTTTATTTATATTTATTCAGGATTCATATTTGTCTTTTTGAGGTTTAATATTCAAAGACACTAGTCTATATACTGATTTGATTTAAGTGTACTGACCTGCTTTTTATTTCTTCATCAAAAATGTGATACATTTTGTGTTATACAGTAAATTCTGTTTTTATGACTGGATTCCGCGATTCCGTCCACGTTTTCCCACATCATGGAGATCATAGGACCCTAAAAATATCGATTTTACCCGTAGTAGAGCCGCTGGAACAGCTTACCCCAAAGCATCTGACACAACTTACCCCTCAACTAAAATGCTTATATGCCTATAATAATTTGCAGCTAATCCTTAACCAAATAATCGACATGATTTTATACATTAGCAGTTTGCCATACCTGGATAAATTTGCATGGACATAAAATTGATTTCACCTGTCATTAGGGCTGGGCAAAAAAATCGATTTTTCGATTAATCGTTTTTTTAAATGTGGTCGATTCAAAATCGATTCTCAACGGCCACGAATCGATTTTTTCCATATTCAGGGCTCGCGTGCTGCGTCTTCTCTCTCTGCACAAGGCAAGCGTCAAGCGCTGCAGGCGTCGATACACACTCGTGTTTAGGAGTCGGGACATGATTCACTTGCACAATCGGGCCAGCATTGCATCGTAACTAACGTTTATCATTTTCACGTCTTTTTTCAAGCAATTTTAAACTATCCTGTGCTCGCGCACTCGTGCATGTTTTTCATTGCGTGCAGCCTAAATCCGCCTCACAACAAACAGCTCGCCAGTAACAAAAGTTCTTTTTCGTGGATTATATCGCTTTAACAGTTAAAAACACGCAAAATGATGTCAAAACTCTGGTCTTGGTGAGTAACCTCGTAAAGACAGTTGGTTATGTCTTAAATAAGCATAAAACGCGTGTGACAGACAGTATAATGAAACAGTAATGGGTCCGTGCACTAGTTCTTAAAGTGAACGCAGCCATATGTGTCTGTCGTTCATTTTGTTGTCAAAACAACATAATATAGCATTAATTGTAAGGAATCAGAATTAATAGCCTATGTATTTAATTCAGTCAGGACTAAAAGACTATCCAGTGTTATTTTACATTGGATTACTTTATTCAGTTTCTGTAGTATTTCTGACCTACCCAAAAACTTTTCTTTTTATGTCTCTTTATTTGTCTTTTTAGGCCTATTCTATTGTATTTATTTGTGCTACTTTTTTCAATTTAATTCAAAGATTGAAATCAAGCTTCCATGTGTTGCATAAACTCTAAACAAAAAAATTACCCCATTGTAAAAACAAACATTTAGGTGAGATCAATGTAATAAAAAATTGTCTAAAAAATGATAACTGAGATTTAGACTGAGATTTGTATTACATCTATATTCATTATAGTCGAATCGAGAATCGAATCAGGAATCGAAATTCGAATCGAGAATCGAAATCGAATCGAGAATCGAAATCGAATCGAAATCGAATCGAACTGTGAGCTTGTGAATCGAAATCGAATCGAATTTGAACATCTGAATCGAAACCCAGCCCTACCTGTCATGTATAAAATTTACTTTGACATGAAAAAAAGTTTTTAGCATTAAATTCTCAAGGACTTTCATGTACATCTCCCAGGCTGCCGTACATGATGGACCCTAAAAATCTAACTATATGGTCCCAAGACTAAAAAATAATACAGCTCACCTGACACATCCTTCCCCATTCTCATATAATACAAAAAAGTATAAGATTTTAGTCATACATAATCCACGTCGGTATGGATTAAATCGAGAAAATGATACAGTCAACCTACCCCTAGCGTCCACACAGCTTTCCACACGTTTATCCACATTGTGTCCACAAAATAGACGCTGTCAAAACTCATCATTGAGGAAGCGCTAATTAAATGTCGCCGTTTCTGTCAATGTTTTCGGCTGAAAATTTCAGATAAAACATTTTTGGTAGCCAAAATTTCTGTGCATCACTAATTATAATGTTGTTTTATAATAATACAATTATTTATATAACAAGAATATAATTATTGTTTGGGTTTTATTGTTTTTTTGTTGTGTTGTGTTCAGTAGCGTACCGTGGGGTTTCAGTCAGGGCCTTCAGTAACGACCCCCCCCTATTTTTTCTATTCAATTAACATGCTATGGTCATTAAATGGCTTTCCTGAGCTAAATGTAACGTTATGGGACATAATTGTTCTCCTGCTGTTATATTGACCTCTTTCCATGGTTTAAAACACTAATTGGTCGATATTATGTATACTTTCTAGCTGTAACGTTACCTTACCCTTGCCTTTTGCAATGTGAAAATGAGATAAATAATGGACACAAATGAAAAACATGAATTCGTTTATTTGAGGTCATTCATTTATTTATTGTTGCCAAATGGACAGATATTTTTATAGTTTCCTCCTAGCTAGCTTGTCAAGCTATTTTCATAAATAATCTGTAAGATCGTTTGTACCTTTATCTGTGACTGGAGGCCACTGTCTAACATCATCAACAAGTCATTCTGCCTGGCTGTGTCATCGAGGGTGCGTTATCCAGGGCTGCCAACTTTTGAGTTCAGCTTAGAGTGAGATTTTGGGGGGCGGGGCTTGGGTTATGGGGGAGTGGCTTATTGAGGGGCGTGGCTTGGTGTGGGGAAAAATACAAACACAAAATCCTTGCATTAGCAGAAGTGTATTAAATATATATTGATTGTCAAAGTATTTGGTATCTGTACAGAATTTCTTGGGAGATTTACATTACATTTAATTTTACATTTAACATTTTAATTGACATTCTGTTCTTAGAAAACAATAATTAACATTAACTACTAGGCATGTCCATATTTGTCATCTGGAAATGCTTTTGTACTGTTTTTATGATAAAGTTATGTAAAATAACTGCTCAGTGCTGCAAAACAAACAACTCTGCTATTGCTAACTTAATTCTATATACCGTAAAACTTCAAATAGTAGCCCGGGCTTTTATTTTCCCAAACCGTCGAATTGCACCGGCTTGTATTTGAGACAGGCGTCTATATGAGACAGGCCTTTATAATTTAGTGTTGAGATGTTGTTCATTGAGTGTATGTCTCTAATCTCTGAAAATCTCCAAATGCTCCACGTTAAACTGCGGTCTTCCAACCTTTTACTATCGCGTCGTCAATTGATTTTGATTAATATGCGCGAGGGAGAGCGAGCCTGACAGCGCTCATGTTGTTTGAAGACGTGAGAGTGCGCGCGCGCGGCCGGAGCGCTCTCTCTCTGCTCGTCCGCGCCCTGTCAGGCGCAGCAGTCATTGTTCTTTTCTACATCACTCATCGATCAAAAAAAGCTTTGGAGGGACAAAAAAATGCTTTGGCGGTTGCCAAAAAGCGGACGATCTGACGGTTTTAGAGGATTAAATACAACCCGAAACTAAAAAACAGACCCGGCCTCTATTTGAGACCGGCCTTTATTTACCCAAACCTGAAGCCACACCAGGCGTGTAAAAGAGACAGGCGTCTATTTGGGACTCGGCTATTATTTGAAGTTTTACGGTAAACTATATAACAGGCCTATTACCAGCCTAAACTGGATGGAGACAAGGAGCGCCCTGTAACTCACTGACCTGCCTGCGTTCACAATTCACACGGTGCAGATGGGAGGGAGAACGGCTGACTACACAGTTTATGGGAATAAATTGTGTATTTCCCTCACAATTGTCACAAAAAACTCACACTGTCTGTCTGGTAACTGTCCACTGGGTTGTGTTGCGAAAGACACGCAAGCTCGCTTAATCACCTCTCTGTCGTCGTGCGCGTGCGCGTGCGCGGTTAGGAGCGCGCCGTTAAGAGCTCAACACATCTGTCTCGCATGCACGCTCGCTCGCTATAGATTACAGGATATTTTAACTAATTTGCGGTAAAACTAGTCGATCACGAATGGCTCAACTGGTAGATCTATAGATAAACTTATCGTTCAGGCATTTGACCGACCGGGTTGACACTTCAGCGTGAGAAATCGGGGGTGTGGCGTGAGAGCGTGAGAATTGGCTCAATTGCGTGAGTCTCACGGTGAATGCGTGAGAGTTGGCAGCCCTGGTTATCACGGAGGTTTGTTTAACCGGTAACAGCTCGTAATGGCGTCGCCGCCACAAGACGGCAGTCTACACAGAACGCTCGTCGGATTCGTGTATAGATGCCAGTGCAGAGAGTCGTGTTTGTCCAGACAGTTGTATTCCTTAAATACGTTTTGATGCGCTTGAGAGCGGAGAAAGATCGCTCAACTGATGCGGTGGACACTGGAATGGTCGCGATCAAGCATGTGAGGGCATAAAGCTGACATTTACTGACATTGCTCACAACCCGCCGAATTTTCAAACGGCTGATGACATCAGCGGGGGCTAGCGCCGATACACATCGCTGCCCCCTGGGGCGTTCTGTCACTGCGCATCAAATTTTGATTGGCTAATGATACACGTCAGTCAAAGTTTAGATCAAATGGGAAATGGCAGCTTAAACGGAAGGCTAGCTATACTACTAGTGCTGGTCCACGGAGCTGTGATGCGTTTAGATGACCATATGGAAAGTCCAGCTCAGCCTCAACAAAATAACCATATTCTTTCAGGAAATATAATCGTAAAAATGAAAAAAAAAAAATATATATATATTAATTATATATTATTAGGGGCCAAGCACCGAAGGTGCAGAGGCACCTATTGTATCTGTTAGTTTTCTTATTATTATTCTTCTTCTTCTTCCGCAAATGGAAGTCTATGGCAGCCCTATGAACCGTATATAGGAAAATGATGAAATTTGGCACACTTATAGTGATGATAATGAAAAGTAATTGTAGCAAGTTTTGAGTCTCTAGGACCAACTCTATAGCGCCACCACCAGTTCAAAAATTCAACATTGAAATGGTTATAACTTTTGTAGCCTTTGATCTAGAGACATGAAACTTAGTACACCTGATTCCACTCATCATGTTGATTACAACCAATACCTTACATTAAGACCCCTGCCCATTACAGTAGTGGCCATTTTGAAAAGTACAGTAATCAGTTTTTTCCCTACTCCTCCTTCAAATTTTGTCCAATTTTGTCCAAACATGTGCTCAAATGATCTTCGGACTGAGCCGCATAGAAATGACTGAACAGAATTTTTTGCTATACTGAAAAAAAAAAAGTTATGATGTCGCAAACTTAACAAGGTCGACCCAAAATTGGTTCAGAAGCTATAGCTCGGCCAAAGTTTGATCAATCGAAACGAAAATTGGTACGCTTCATCGGAAGCATGGTCTGAGGGTGCATGCCAAAGTTGGGAACAGCGCCACCTATGGGTCATGAGATATGAAAAATAGCTATTTTGGCCAATAACTTTTGAACAGTTTGTCAGAAAATCATAAATGTGGTATCTATGGATTCCTTGTGTCATGTCAATTCTGGGGATATCAATTTTGCCAGGATTGGATGTACCACGTGTCCGCCATTTTGAATTTTGTCATAATTTGCCATATCTTTTAAAATATTTGACATATCTTCACAAAATTTAGTATGGATCATCATTTGCATAGCCTTAAGGTACCTGAGAAGTTTGAACACAGCGCCACCTAGTGTTCCAAAGGTATAAGGTTTTTTGAAAAAAAGCTTATAACTTTTGCAAATATAGTTCAAATTTTAATTTCTTTATGTCATTATATTCCTTGGCTTATACCGATTATAACGATATCTCGTTTGTCATTTTCCAACAATGTGACTGCCCGCGATATTGGGGCAAATGAAAAACAGTTTTTTCGCTACTCCTCCTTCAAATTTTGCTCAATTTTGTCCAGAATTTTATCAGATGGTCTTTGGACCAAGCCGCACAGAAATGACTGAACAGATTTTTGATTTTTGCTACCGTTCCCGAGATATTCGTCTCTAAAGTTGACCTAGCCTGTGTTTGTTGCCTTATGCTAGTTAGCTTAGCATAATAATTGGTTAGCATGCTAACCAAATGTCATTCTTTCTAATGCGTCTCTTCAGCTATCAGGATAACCATAAGCTACAATAGCATTATGCTAGCTTAGCATGCTAATCTGGTTAACCTGCTTTTGTGTGCTCATTCTTACACTGAAGGATCTCCTCTGCAGCTTGTGATTGTATGTCCTCTGAGTGGCGCAGTCTGCTAAACAATGTGTTACTAATCCTGAGCCGTTCCGGTTGTGGTTTCAAGCCCCATGTTATACAATTTCAAATCATTGTGTAATGTTATGTAATTTGGAGCCAATTGCTGCAGTTTTACCTTTAACAACTCAAGTCTCCGTAAAATTTGAACAAACCACTGTTTATGACTACCATGCTGTGTAAAAAAAAGGTTATAGCTTTGAAGAAATTCTAATAATTTAATATGTAGCAACTGTTTAACAATGGGAATTTTGATTTGAACAATTGGTAAGTTGAATAAGTTTTCAAATTAAATCCAAATATGTCAAACATGGTCAAAAGGTGCTTGGCCCCGCAATCACTGCTTGCAGTTATATTATTATATTATATTTTGACAGGGCCAGCAGAGAAGGCCCTGATGGCCCTGACAGCCCACCTCTGGTTGTGTTGTTGTGCTGCTTGTGTCCGGTGTACACGCAGTATGAGAAGAACAAAGTCAAGGCAATCACTATAATACACACACACTACAATAAAATCAATAAACTGATACTAACCAGCACTGAGAGCTCTAGCAGTTTCCACTCACTCACTCACTCACTCACTCACTCACTCACTCACTCACTCACTCACTCACTCACTCACTCACTCACCCAAGTTATAGAGCAAACTCAAGGCCTGGAACTCCTCTTGATGCCGGTGTTTCCCATCTCTGTAGCTCTCCAGCAACCAGCTCAAGCTTTCCTGCAGGTGAGTGTCATTGATCCGCGGGTCATAATATTGAAGTAGCTGCCCGCAGAGTCTGTAGGAGGCGTAGAGAAGGAATCGCACGCTTTTCTCCAGCACAGCCACACAGTCCGGCCCCGACACACGCTGAATAATCATGTCCTGCCGAACGCTACGCAGGCGGTCAGACACAAAACTGTACACCTGTGGATCAGAACGTAAGCAAGACAGGCTTCAAATGGCCATCATATTACAGATAAAGATGACAAAATGCAATTTCCATACCTCCGTCCATGGCTGAAATGTAGAGGAAGCTGCAATGTCATCAACTAGGTAGCACACAGTCTTTAAAAGCACAGATGGAGGCCGAAGGTCACTGGCTCTCGTGGAGTCCTTCCCCGCGGCAGGTCGCGAGTACTCTTTGACAGCACGTGACACATCAGCACAAGGCAAGCGATCCCGCTCTGTGCCGGCCAACATCTCAAACCTGTGCAGTCGATTCTGGGCCTCCCGCTGGCGTAATTCATAGGCAGGGCACATAGTCAAACAGGCGCCGCGGGGCACTGAGTCTTCAGCTTTCTGCTCAACCGCCCGCTCCCTGTTCGGTCGACCCTGCTCCTTATGCCTGTGTCCTCGACCCCTCCTAGAGTGATGCCACCTAAACACACACATATACTGTACATATTATTTCAATTTAATGTAACTGTTTTCTACTGTAATATATTTTAAAATGTAATTTATTCCTGTGATGTCAAAGCTGAATTTTCAGCATCATTACTCCAGTCTTCAGTGTCACATGATCCTTCAGAAATCATTCTAATATGCTGATTTGCTGCTGCTTCTTATCATCAACAGAACTGTGTATTTTGTGGAGACATATAAATTAATACTTTTTATTCAGTAAGGACACATTACATTGATCAATAGTGACAGTAAATGCATTTATAGTGTTACGAAATATTTCTATTTCAAATAAATGCTGTTTTTTTTAACTTTCTATTCATCAGAGAATGAAAAAATATATTAATTATTTCCACAAATAATTAACCAGTAAAACCTGTTTTTATCATTATTAATTATTGAGCATCATACAATTGATAAAAACAGCATCAAATCAGCATATTAGAAAGATTTCTAAAGGATCATGTGACACTGAAGACTGGAGTAATGATGCTGAAAATTCAGCTTTGACATCACAGGAATGAATTACACTTTAAAATATATTCAGATAGAAAACAGCTCTTTTAAACAGTATATATAACATATATATGTGAATATATAAAAATGCTGAATTATTGCAAAAAGGCGGTGGAAATAAATAGGTGCTATCATCTCTTGTTACGTTTCTTGTATTGCACAGGACAGGTCTGTAACTGTAAGATGCTCACTGCAACCTTTCTGAGCAATTATTTTCTATTTTGTTTGACAATAATTTATCTCGTTTAAGATTCAAAACTAGTTATTTCCGAGCCAAAACACATTTTATGCAATTATAACAATCTGTCATGAGCAAGATGTAGTAATCTGCTAACGTTACTAGTTAACGTTATGTGCTTTTACTGTTGACATCAGCCCTGTTCTAACAAAGACGGTTTCTGTCTGCGTATACTCTTTGTATCAAACAGGTTTCAGTTAAAACTTGGTATTTAAAATATAATATCTTCATTTCATATATCGTCGTGCCTTTTTTCAAAATAAAAACAAGCTTTTGGAAGACTCACGCGTTACTCATGGCTGTGTTCATTGGTCGTGTCTGTTGTTGATCAAAACTGCTCGCACGTCACTTGCCGTAAAGACATATCCGATTGGTCGCCTGTTTCTACGACATTGTACGTCATATCCGCTAAATTCGTATATATATATATATATATATATATATATATATATATATATATATATATATATATATATATATAAATAAAACAACATGAATTGTTTATAAACATAAAAAAAATAAACTGTGCAATATTACTGCAAAATTATTTCTAGTTAAAAGCTGCAGAGATTCTATTCATGGATTTATTTCTTCTTGTTAAGACCTTTTACAGTCTATGGTTAAGGCAATCAACTTTAAAATTCACAAAATAAACTTTTAAAGTGTTCACAATATATTTTTGAAATAGGGTACACATACATATTAGTATGGTTATTTTTTTTAGGAAAAGTGAAATCACATATCTGATCAACCTAAATACTAAAAGCAACCATAGTAATAACTACAAAATCCCCTTCACAAGTCAGTTCAGTTCCCAGTAATTAATGTTAGGTGTAAAGGACTTTAAAGTTATTGATTAAATCAGTATGGTATCAAATATTTATCTCTCTATGTACATACACATACATAATGTTTGGTGTGTTGATCTCAATTCAAGAATTTAGACAATAAAAACAAATCCAACAGAAACCTATCCATTTCTCAACCAAAATGTTTTAATTTGTAATATAAATATGAATCATCGTTGTTTTTCTAATAAAATACACACATCATCACCAGACCTATGAATATGTGACAAATTCCTTAAATCCTGCTTCAGTAATGTATGAAATAAATACCTACAATTCATTGATTATTCACATTCTTTAATTATTTCATTGGAAATAGATGCCTTAATCATACAGCATATCATGTCATGGAGGGGCAGAAGAGTGTCTGGGCTGTGCTCTGTCCGATCTGGCCTTCCTCCAGTGACTGCTGGACCAAAACTGTCTCCCGGCTTACTAATGAAGACACCTCCAGAAGATCAGAAAAAGTCCTACAAGAAAATATGAAACAGCAAATGAACATGCAAAGTAAGTTAAAATATAAACTAGCACAGATGAAATACGCACCAAGCATTGTTTGAAACAATTGTACATGTTTCGGTACTGAGGGCTTCACAGTGTGCAAAGTCTTTCATTGTATATGGAGACCGAATTGCTCTTACCTTGTCAGCTCCTGGCTGATTTCATTTGCTGTATTTTTCATCTCTCCAAGACACTCTGTTAAAGCCTCACAGTCAGTGGGAATGTCCTTTGTATAGTGTTGCAAGAGTCGCTCGCTCTGACTCAGACATCCGACCGCTTTGTCTGTGTAAGACACATGTTTTTGATTAGATCTGATTGGAATTATTCAAAAATCACCAATTGGATTCAAGGCGCATGCCGACTGACCAGTCATTTCAATCCCTCAATAACATACAATGTCTCGTACTTAAAGACTCCACGTCCAACAATATAACATGTTTAACAAAGACATACCCAAAAATTGCACAATATAAAATACAAACGTCAAAAATGTTGAGCAAATCTCACCTAAAAACTGCTCTGGGTCCTCTCCAATGTGCACATTCCTCACAGGAAGCTTGTGTCTCGTGGCATCAACGGCTTGGGCAAATGACTTGTACTCCTCTGCAAATGTGTTTGCTGCAGCAGCAACAGGACTTAAAGCCTCAATCTGCATTAAAAAAGGAACTCAAATGTGAGATGTGTTAACATTAAGATTTAAGCAACAGAGTTAAATGTGAGAAGATGACCTCACCTGTACGTCCAGTAAACTGTTGAGTTGTTTCTGCTTTTCCAGCAGCAGATACTGTCGTTTCTTTTGGTTAACTTGTGCTCTCAACTGCTGCTCTTTCTCCATGACGGCCAGAATATTCCTCTCAGCCTCCTCTCTCATTTTTCGGGTATTATGTTCAATCTAGAAACAAAAACGTTATCAAAAAAGGGCTTTAAAAAAATAGAAATGTTTATGCATTAACTATTTTGGATTAATATGCTCATTATTTGTTCATATTTTGTTTAAGCTCTAAATGCAGTAGCTATTACACCTGACCAATCAGAGCAGAGTAGACCAATCACAACAGACTGGGCCATCTGACCAATCAGAGCAGACTAGACCAATCACAACAGACTGGGCCATCTGACCAATCAGAGCAGAGTAGACCAATCACAACAGACTGGGCCATCTGACCAATCAGAGCAGACTGGACCAATCACAACAGACTGGGCCATCTGACCAATCAGAGCAGACTGGACCAATCACAACAGACTGGGCCATCTGACCAATCAGAGCAGAGTAGACCAATCACAACAGACTGGGCCATCTGACCAATCAGAGCAGAGTAGACCAATCACAACAGACTGGGCCATCTGACCAATCAGAGCAGAGTAGACCAATCACAACAGACTGGCCCATCTGACCAATCAGAGCAGAGTAGACCAATCACAACAGACTGGCCCATCTGACCAATCAGAGCAGAGGAGACCAATCACAACAGACTGGCCCATCTGACCAATCAAAGGAGAGTAGACCAATCACAACAGACTGGCCCATCTGACCAATCAGAGCAGAGTAGACCAATCACAACAGACTGGCCCATCTGACCAATCAGAGCAGACCAATTACAACAGACTAGTGCTGTGCTATATAGTCAACTTGAATGAGTGAATGAAAACGAGTGAGTGAATTCTTACACTGAGTGCGCCGGAATGGCTGCCGTTTCTGCATAGTTTGTACTTGCTGTTTAATAATCACTTGGTAAACTGGCAGCTCCAGTAGTAATGAAAAGATTTATCTTGACCCCTGATATGGAAACAAGCATATAAGCCTTAATCAATTAAAAAGGAATGTATACCTGTATAATATTACGCTAGACCAGCACGGTTGGAAAATGGATGGATGATTGATTCAGCTGCGGGCGTCATCACCTGTGCTGCGTTCAGCGCCGACAAAACGCTGCACAACGTTTTTTAAACAGAGACGGTGATGCGTTGAACACACTGTTCTGATGACGCAAGAGTTGCAACTATATGGCAGCCGAGAGAGGCCAATCTTTGTGTTCTTTGTGAAGAATTTTCGGAGCCTGATGAAATCGGTATAAATATGTGTTTAATTCTACAAAATATGCCCGATGTTACAGTTACTGCACTTGCCGCCCAGAACACAAGAGACCATCCCAGTCGAGTGAAGGGATTTGTGGAAACTGAAATGGAAGCACACATCTTACCTAATTCAGACTAAAACACATCTATTCAGCCTCACATACTGACTTTATTTGTAGTTCACAGTGGTGTGACGAGACGCTTATCTCCCGAGACGAGACTAGACACGAGATTGAGTTCACGAGAACGAGACGAGATTTTTGCACAATTTTTCAGAAATCCTCAATGACTAAATTCATGACTGGAAAAATAGTATGCAGGTGCATTTTGCAATTTTTTAACTAATAATCTTCTAATGCATGTCATTTCAGGTCTACTTTATGAGTATGAATTATCAAATGCATTGAAAGAAAACAATATACAAGCACTGTAAAAGGTTTTTATTGACTGGCTTTTCTCCTGTTTGATTTCACATGAGTCTCTTCAGACCTTTACTGTACATTTAAGAGCTTTCAGAACTTCTGATTGAGGCTGTGTGTGACCTAACTGAACTCATTGAAGTCTGAAGTGCAAACAATAAGTGAAAGTGCAACCATAATCAAAGTTAGCACACAGACTCTTTATAATTGTTTTGAAATTGCTGTTTTATTTTGCACCAGCAGTTATAGGGTTAATATGGCGAGTTCGGAAAAGGTAGAGAGAAACGAGGCTGGTGTGTTTGTCTCTATGTTGTTCTTGTGTTCCGATTTAAGTTCAGAAACAGAGCCTTCCATGTCTGTTGTACTTAATACATTACAGTGCTCTCTTAATATTCGAAGTGCAAACAGAGACCATAGCCGCAAATAAACAGTCCAGAGATGGGTATTAGGAGACGGACAATGAAGCCTAATTTGCGCAATGCACAATGGACCTTGTGTTTTACTTTCAAATTGGTGATCGCGCGTGTATAGGGAGCAGCGGTGCTGAGCGTGCATTTTACAAGATAAGACATTTATCAGACGTTTAGTCTATGTTGCGCATCGAATCCTCCGCCATCGTCACGCGAACAGTGAACTGTGATTCCTGCTGCACTGATTGCAACGGCAACTCGTGCTGAATGAGCAGAGCAGACTTTTACATTCATGTATAATGGTTATTATTTATTATAAAAACATCAAAACGATAGTTTAGGCATTATGGGTATTCTCTAGCCGTTGAGCGTACATCAGTTGTACACTCGTTAATGTGATGCATTGTGGGATTGAATGAGTGCACTCAATAACGTCCATTATGGTTTCAGACACCACTACAAATGGCTGTCCCCTTAAATAGTGCCCTACTTAAGGGTATGGGGGCAATATCGGACACAGCCTGGCAATCAGAGCAGAGTAGACAAATCACAACAGACGGGGCCATCTGACCAATCAGAGCGGAGTAGACAAGAGTATTAGGAAGAACAGGTTTAGAGAATCCTTCATCAAGCTGAAAATAAGTAATGCTGCAATGTTTATTATAAGAAAATTAAGTGTTTTTTTGAACATGGATGCACGTAAACCTTTTGTAGGAGACCTCCAAAACTAAATTAGGAACATAATGGGGCACTTTAATCAAATGCTGGCAAATGAAATGTTTGTTATGCAAGGATGTAGATATGTGGATTTGGGGGATTTATATCTGTGTGTGTGTGATAATATATACAGTATGCATCAGTGGCGTAGGTTTGATTTTGAAATTGGTGGGGACGGGGACATCAATATATAACTATATTTTAAGTTTTGATCGAAATTATTGCTAGGGATATAGCAGTGTCACTGGATATTGGTAGGGACACGTCCCCAGCGTCCCTACTAAATTCTACGCCCCTGGTATGCATACAGTATGCAATAACTATATTGATCAACTTAACATCAGACCTTAGCAGTGAGGAAGGCCAGCAAAAACGTCTCCATCGCCATGTCCCTTTCTTCATTCTTGGGGTCCACTGTGCCTGGCAGCGCAACTTTGTCTGGAAAATTTAAACTTGTTATGCAAGCTGTTCAAACGACTGTTAAAACAAAATCGCATTACTGCTCTACTCCAGACGACATGAGTACCACACCTTTAATAACGGAGACATCAAAATCTGGACGTATGTAGTGGCCGTCCAACACAGTCGACTGAAAAACATTTCCTCCCAAATTTGATGGTTCCAGAATGCTGGAGGCCGCTGTGGGAAAACATCACATTCATAAGTCATCAAGTCATTTATCTAAAAAAATAAAATCCTATACAACAACTGAACTAGTTTAACCAACACAGAGACTGATATATAGATGCAGATAGTGAATATTTAATCTCACATTTCTGCAGATTAGCCCAACACTCACAGTCATTGCATGCCAGAGTGCTTATTGTACGTCTCGACAGGACGCCATCCCTCGGCTTTCGTGTGTTGCCTATTCTGGGAGAGGACGGTCTGGGTGGCATCAGTATCGATTGCTGCTGTACACTGCTCTACAGAACACACCATATAAAAGAATCAACCTTGATATTGTTATGAAATGACACAAACAGACACAACAACACAGATGTCAAGATTTAGTATGGAAACAAAGTATTCCTATTATTTTGGAATCAGTTACCTTTGCAGGAGCCTTTGTTTCGGTTTGCATGTACCTAGACTTTACAATTGTGCCCGACGCTAAAAATCAAGATCAGATGAAACGGTCAGAATTGTCAGTATAATAACATTAATGAGTTATGAGAAGAAGTTCAAAGTCATGATCTTACATTTGGTTTTCCTCCTCGCACCACTGTTATTTCCACTACTGACTTCATTTTCGGTGGATAAACTGAAAAACAGAGGCTGTCTGAATATTTGCATTCATGAAATTGACAGCAATAGGTGCGTAGGTGAACGCGCTGATGACGTGCGATGTCTGCATGAACAGGCTGCCAAACACACGTTGACGGACAGGGAACACGTTATCATTTCATTGGGACCGAATGCAATGATTTAACGAACATTTTAAGGTCCTATGCCTTCCACAGACGCTTTATATTTATAAAAATACATCTAGACCACTTAAGAGTGATTGCTATCAGTATACGAGTAGACTTTTAATCAGCAAAAAAAAAAAAATGTTTTGGAAGAGAACATTTTTTACCTTTAAAGAGTACATTTCAACTGTTTTGTGAAATCAGTATCACAGTCTAAGAGTTTGAATTGGACTTCTTTGACCCATACTTCAGCTTATGTAGCAGAAACAGATATCACATGTCTTTTAGTAAGTATTAGACCAAATAATTCATATTATTTAGTAGTAGTAATAATAATATCATCTTATCAAGCCCCAAATCAGGTTAATAGGTTTATTCATTGTCATTTCAAAATATAGCGTCTAGTGGGCCACAATATTTGAACATATATTTGCATAAATAAATTAGATAATTACTTATATTACCTTAACTATTACTTAACAAGATCAACACTGGCCCAAGAGTAAGGCTAATACACATGACACTTCAAAGAAAACAAATAATGCATCAAGTTTTAGTGTGTACATTGTACAAGCAGCAAGTTCATAATTCAACAGTTCACACTTCACAATGAAATGATTTAGATTATTGAACTTGAACTAAAATATAAAATCTTACTTTTTTGAGTCACTTGAAGCTATTTTCTCAACTTTACGCATATTTGACGGCGGCTTTTTAGATGCCATTTCGTTATACAACTCAGAAATTCAGAATCGGATCGAGGTGAAAACTGTTATGATGTTTTTGTAACCCCGCGTTTTATCGCTCGTCTTCCTCTGTGTGCTTGAAGCGCTAACATGAGTTGCGTTCAGCGCCACCTCTCAGCCTGGAGTGTAAACACACACACACACACACACACACACACACACACACAGTAATACTAATTAAAGTCAAGCGAATAGTTTCGCATTTTTCCTGTACATCAAAAAAATGATCCAATGATTTTTCCGCCCATTGTAATGAATCACTTATGAGTGATTAACTTCCTGAATTTTAAAACATAAAAAAAAAAAAAAAAAAAATCCATGATAGTTTTGACGTAATAATAATATTTAATATATAGATCTTAGAATCATATATTCTTACACTCTGAATGCAATATGTTCCATGATGGCGGTTAAATTAAAAACAGTTAGAAACGATTCGCATGTCATAAACGAAATAATTCCGAATTAAAAGTTAAACAATAATGCACCAAGCAAAACTGCACAGATCTGTACACAAATGTATTATGAAATACATGTTTATGAAGGCATGTAAAACGTTTTCTCTCCTGTTTTGTGTCTGTCAGTCAGTTGTCAAACGCGTGTCTGTCCGTGACCGTCCTCTTCTTATGGACAGGGAACAACTCCCAAATCCCATCCATGTTTACACAGCTCCTTCTCTTTATTTGCACGTATAAATAATTTATCCTGCACCATGAAGAGCTGATCATTATGTAGTTTAGAGGTCTATAACTCGGGTAAGTTGAGATATTCATGTTTCGCATGTTTGTTCATCATTTTTTAGTTGAAATGTTAGATTAGCCGTAGTTAGCAAGAAAAGTTAACCTCAAACTTGGTGTCTGATAACTTGTAGCTTTGCTTATCAGATATTTGATGAATTTAAGTGATGGTTTTGTGTAATTATTGTAACATTTCTTTACATTGATAAGTTGTGGAAGTTATGCTGATTAAGCGCGATGTTATTATTAGCACGTAGCAAGCTAAGAGTTATAATTCACTTTCTGCTGTCGCTGCTCCCACTTTCCTGTATTTTTTTTTTTTTTTTTTAGTTTCTCCATTTGTAAATGACGAAACGTGATAAATATAACTTGTTTAAATGCGAATTATTAGGAAAACTTTAAATATGCTGTACACTCATGAGTGTTTATGAAACTTAGTTTGTGCATAAAATGTTCACAAATTTATCTAACGATAAATAAGAATGACGTCTGTTTTTACCATAGACTTAAAAAAGAAGGTTTTTACTCAGATTTTTTCCATGGAAATTACAGAAATTCAATGCTGTTGTCAGGCTCTTTTCACCAAACCCCTCAATAAATAATAAATATTTGTGTGACAGATCAGTTTCCCTGAAGGTTTGCTCTCACGTTTCACAGCTCAATGAAAGATCATGAGAGGTTTGAACTTCAGTGTTTCCATTGCTGCCTCAGACTGTCAGCAGGCTTGTTTGACTATCAAATATGCATCTGCCATATAAGTAATGCCATGATTTGATTGAATATTATATTCAGGAATCCTTCTCTTTTGTGCTCTTCAGGGTTGGATCAAAGCTGGGATGGCCTCTAAACTATTCGACAGACTTCGCCGTACACTGTTCAAAGAAGGGGAGCTTCCTTCAGAGACAGACGGCCACAGAACGGATGACTTTCCAGAAAGCTCTGAGCTTGAGGATGACATAGACTGCGTGTCGGCCAGGCTCGGAGGGACCCTGTGCTTCGAGGGTGATGGGGTCCTGGACTCTGAGGATCCGGGAGACGCGTCGGGGCCAGACAGTGACTCTGACTTTTTTGGAGAGTCCATAGATAATGCATGTAGCAGCACAGGTAGTCATCAATAATACCTATCTTTTAACAAGCTAACATTATAATTTATAGTGTAAAGGACAAGGTAAATGCTTATAGAGGAGTAGAACAGCACAATTTGTGTTGGTGAATTGAAGTCCAAGCTACATGTGCAGAAGCTATTAAAGGAATAGGCTTGTTTATCCAAAAATTAAAATACAGTCATTTACTCTTTCTCATCCTGTCCCAAAATATACACTGTTCAAAACTTTGGGGTCTGTAAGATTTTTTCGATGTTTTTCAAAGAAGTCTCTTGTGATTGCCAAGGCTGTATTTATTTAATCAAAAATACAGTAAAACAGTAATATTATGAAATATTATTGTTACAATTTTAAATAACTGTTTTCTGTTTTAATATACCGGTATTTGAAAATGTAATTTATTCCTATAATGGCAAAGCTGAAATTTCAGCATCACTACTTCAGGTAGTCATTCTAATATGCTGATTTGATGCTCAAAAAATATTTCTTATTATTAGCAATGTTGAAAACTATGGGAGTTTGTTTCTGCCATGGAATAAAACCAATCTAAAAGATAATTGCTTTTTTATTTTTTTATCGCACAATTCTGACATCTTTTCTCAGAATTCTGAGATATAAACTTGCAATTGCGAGTTATAAAGTCCAATTCTGAGGGAAAAATCAGCTCTCAATTCTGACATTTTCTAACAATTGCAAGTTTATATCACGCAGTTCGAGTTTATATCTCGAAATTCTGATTTTTTTCTTGCATTTGCGAGTTCATATCCCACAATTCTGACAATTGACAATTCTTTATAACTCACAATTGCTAGTTTATATCACACAATTGTGAGAGAAAAAAACCTGAATTGTGAGATAAAAAGGTCACAATTATTATATTATTATTTGTACATTTTATTCCCTGGCAGAAACATGCTTCCATAGAAAACCGTTACATTGATGTTGCAGATAAAACATTTTCAGGATACTTTTATGGATAAAAAGTTCAAAAGAACAGCATTCGAAATAGAAACCTTTTTAACATAAATGTATACAGACATTTAAGTAAATTTATTTGCATCCTTTCTGAATAAACGTTTTAATTTCTTTTAAAAAAAAATCTTATTTATGGATTTAGAAATGGTATAATTTAAACCTTTAAATGGTTGTAGTATATATTTATATATTCTGTTATTATTGAGCAGAGCTGTCAAGCTTTAAAAAGGACAAAAACACCATAAAGGTAGCCCATTTGCCTATATTATACGGCATATTGCAAATCTTATGGATAACTGTGTGTAAGGAACATACTCAATTTATGTCAGAATTCACTAAAAATCATCTCAGTTCTCGCAGTTCTCGAATCACATTCCTTATTCTGCATATTTATGTTGCCAAATTATTTGGACACATGGAAAACAGTAGCTTTTGGTGACTATCACACATGACTTCAGAAGATTTACAGTTAAACTTTTTACATTTATTTGTTGATTTAGCTGACACTTTTTTCCACAGCAGCTTACAATTGAAAGACTTGTATTATAGCACAGTTAAATGAATCACTTTGATGGTGTATTATTTTTGGAGCTTGACAGCTGTCATTACTATGAACTACTATTGTATAGAAAAAGAGTTTGCATGGAAAACCCCCCATTCTTTTAGAAACATTATTTGGAATGAGCTCTTCCTTTAAGCTTAAGCATATGTACATGGTGTTTGTGAACTTACAATAATCTATTTGTAGGCAAATTTCACTTCTTCTTTTTAGTTCACTTTTAGTTCACTTGATACTTCACATTTGTAGTTAATTTTGTCTTTGCTTTATAGAGACCAGCCCAATAGGTCCTTCCCCCAAAACCTCAAATATGATCACCAGACAACTACAAGAAAACTACAAGAGCTCAAGAACTCGTTGCATTCCTGAAAAACTCATTTTTGAGGTGACAGATGCCAGTGTTGTCCATGATACAAATTCCAAGTATGTGGTAAGTACACAAGACACAACTGTGAACCATTTCAGTCATTTTTTAGCAACTTCAAAACACATTACATATTTATACAAACATTCAAAACACCATTTTATATTTGGGCCAATGACAAATAATATTGTCCAAATAATATTGCCTTTTCTTTTCTTAAAGTTATCGTACACTGTTATGCTTTTTCAGACCAGGCGGCCAGCCAAATTTTGGATTAATAAATCAAAAGTAGGACTGTACACTTTATCAAATTGCGATCTGTGAATATTAAAGAGCAGAAAGACTGCTATTTAAACGAACTCTGCATGTTTTAAGCGTCTCTGTGTGAATGAGCAGTTTCGTCTGTACGCATGCTCAAGCACGCAAGATGCTCATGGTGTTTTTAGCGTCCGGTGTCTCTCTATATCAGGACATAAACACATGAACTTAATCTCCAGACCTGCTCTGAGAGTCCCTTCACCAGCATTTCACTTGATAAAACTATTATCATATTATATGCAGTCTTCAAGTCTTCAAACTCATCAAAATAAAAGTTTCTGTTTGACTTAAATAATAACAGAAATATATTACTCTTGTAGAGTACAATGTAATTCTCACAGTAGGAATAATAATAATACAATTAACATTTAATTACATCCTTTTTTGGTATATTTGTGTTAAAACTATTTTAAAGGTTATTGCAAACATTTAAAAAAGTAAGATGTTAAAGTTTAATGAATTCAATTGATTAGACATGCTTCTTGATTATTAAAATTGAATTCAATCCTTAAATTGAAAAAAAGAGAAAGGATTTCATATGGCCCTAAATTAATTTTTTTAACGTTTAATAAATCTTTGAAAAACTGTATATGTTGTATAATTTTATTTTAGACATGCTTTTTGATTACAAGAATACAAACTGTAGCAAGCACTTAATCACTGTTATAATTATAAAAAAAAAAAAAAAAAAAAATTAAGAGCCTTAATAGGGCCACATCAGGAGAGTATAATCACATTTTTTAAAGCTGCTGTCCGTAACTTTTTTAAGTTAAAAATAATCCAAATTAATTATTAAAAAAAAAACATCTTCAGCCAGTGGTCAAAACTATCTGCTTGCCATAGCTAGATTCAAAACGGTTAGCTTGTAATAATGATTTTAATTCCAGTGGTACTGGTGGGTTTTCGCGGGAAATTCGAGCATGTCTTTGCGTCATTACGTCACACCCGTACACATAAAGAAGGAGTTTCGGCTAGCCGGCTATACTGCGTGTGACGAGATTTAGAGATAGGCTTTTCACGCAGCACTTTACATGATTAAACTTATGGCGGATCCAGAAAGATCCAAACAACAATCATCAGTGTCAACTGGAGATTAACCAGTTATAAAACCCAAAAGACTTCGTACTTCGGATTTAAGGTGGAAAGAGAAAGAAACCGTCTCATGCGAACACAAGGATACACATCGGTGGGGCTTTTGAAAGGTGCGTGAACTCCCGAAGGGGTTCGAAACGGAAGAAGAGACGGCTTTTTCTGCTGAACAAGTAAGACATTTCAATAGTTCAATCGTGTAACAGTACGTTTTCTTTATTCACACAGTTATGGAGTTTCCTTTGTTGTGCCTTTCTCATTTAACGTTAGCTATTATGGAGAATATGAATTCTGAACTACACAGGTAATCATAAAACACATTAAATTTAACATTAGTCACGCAATGCTGATGTTGTTAACATGAACAATTTGAGAACAAAGTAGGCTATAATTTGCACGGTTGCTGTAAATCATGTTGATTAAATCTAACGAAGCTTATCATGTCGAATGCTTTTTCCCCCTTAGTTGGTCAGAACAAAAATGGATGTTACTTACTTGTTCAGAAGACATTTTCCGGTGAAAATTCTTATGTTGGTCAAACTTTCAAAAAGTTAATCTGTGATTCTGAATGACAGTATCCACACAGCGCGGTGACTGACAGCACCACTCGCCTCGAAACACTGTGTTCATCCGCGCTGTTTCATGCCGATTTACAACCCACGTAAAGATGATAATTCCACGAATCACTGCAGTTACAGATTTCGAACAGAGATGGCGACAAAAAGGGAAAAAGCTACGGACTGCAGCTTTAAATTTATGCCCCAAAAACGTTTAATTCCGAAATTAAAAACATGCTCATCATTCGTTCACTGTGTATGCATGAACTGCATTTTTAAAGTATTTTCGGGACAAAAACAAGCGTCATTTCATGGGTCAATTGAACAGTTGCTGGTTTTGTTTCTCTGGTTTCACATAAAGTCGCATACGCTTTTTCTCATCAGCTCTACACGATTCATGTCATCCACTCTGGCACATTTGACAAAACTCCCGCTGTCATCACGCGGCGCTACACTGACTTCGAACGGCTACACAGCCGCTTGCGCCGGCGTCACGGAGACGAGATGGATGGCGTGCACTTCCCTCGGAAGAAGCTGCGCAAAAACTTTGCCGCCGAGACCATTGCCAAGCGCAGCCGGGCGTTCGAGCAGTACCTGACCCACCTTCACTCTCTCCCTGAACTACGGACCACACCCACGTTCCTCGAGTTCTTCTACCTGGGGGATCTGCGCGCTGGCCAGATGCTGATGCGAGTGGGCCGTTACCAAGATGCCCTGGGGCCTCTTCTCAACTCTCTGAGACTCCAGGAGAAGTTAGGATGCCATCAGATCCTGCAGCTCAACCAGACGCAGAGGGTTCATTGGTTCTTCACGCTCTCCGCCTTGGTCATCTGCTTCCAAGAGCTGGATCAACTCGGTGAGGCTCAGGAACACTGCGACCGAGCCCTGCAGGATCTAGCGCCTTCCCAGGAGGCTTTGCAGCAGCACCAGTTTCACCCTCTCCTCATCCCCCTCCTGCAATCCAACGTCAGGCTGTCCTGGAAGATCTCGAAGGACAAGAGGCGCTGGGAAGCTCTTCTGCTGGAGATCCAGGAGCAGGGGTTTGATCTAGGGAATCAGCCCAACCTGAAGGAGTGTCTCATTAAAGAGAGCATCGAGGACAGCGAGGGGCTGGTCAGGGCTAAGAGCAAAAGTGAAGATGTCCCATAAGCATTTAGGATTCTTTTTATATATATATATATATGAATATGAGGGATGTTTCTGAAAGCAATATGTAAAATTAGGTCACTAAGGAAACCTGTGGAATTAATATTAACTCTACACTTTAAAACACATGCATTTCATGGGCACATTTCAATAGCGTTTATTAGCCTTATTCTTGAATTGGTGACACTTTACAATAAGACTCAGTTTGTTAACATTACTTAATGCCTTACGACTTAAGTATTATGAATTAACAACAAACAATACTTTTAAAGTTGAAGTTAATTTCTAAAATACACTAATACAATTGTAACATTTCAAGTATTAATTAACATTAGTGAATTATGAATTAATTTACAGTCAACCATAGTGTATTTATTACATTCACATAGATTAATAAATGCTGTAAAGAATTGTGGTTTACTCTTAGTTCATGATACCTAATGCATTAATAAATGTTAACAAATTGAACTTGTAAAGTGCTACACTATTATTTTTTTTGTATCCTGGTAATATTTAATTGGGAATCGGGTTTTGGTGTGACACCAAGAACATTTATTTTTAGCCGTCATGAATTTCACAGATGCAACACGGTTGTGTTTGACTTGTTCTTTAGGGGATTTGAATCAATCAGCCTTCATTTCAGCACCACTATCACACATTATTTCAAGTGGACATGGGGAAGTATTAAGCGAGGCTGTCGACTCTGAACGGTGTTGTTTACATTCAGCTGCTGGACTGATTTGCCTTTTCAGTAAATGATGCAGTATAAATTCTTAAAATAAAGGGAATATCCACTTTTGGTGTAAATTATAAATGAAATAGTCAGATACTTTAAATGGTAGTGCTGTAAAGTACAGTTTTAAATGTATGTTTTGTTACTGAGCTCAAAGTGATTTTAAATAACTCTTGCACAAACGTCAAATCTGTTCATTTCTGCAGTGCAAATAACACTACACGTGTTTTAACAGATTTTTCTTTCCATATAATTCAAAGGATGCCTTTATATGTCATAGAGAGCCTTTTTATTGAATGATTTTGAATATATTTAGAGAACAATATCATTCTTTTAATACTACATAGTTATTCATTTCAAAAATTACATTTTTAATGTCTGAGCCCAATCTACAGATGGTTGCACAGTGCACACAAACTCAGATATATTTGTATACTGGTTAAACATATTACTGGTTTTCCCTCTGTTACTTACTAAATTTGAATATATTTATTTATGTGTTAATTTATTTGTTGTTGAGTACAGTTTAAACATTAACAGTGTAATATACTCTGCAAAACAAAAGTTTTCTCAAATTTTCCCATTTTTGCATTTTGGCTAAAAGGCCTTTACAATAAATAAATGCTTCCTGGTTTTTATTAAAATTTTGTATTTCAAATGGGTTTTATGCACTGGAATTGTTCAGGGAACATCCAGTTCAATTTACAGCATATCAATAAACTTTTTACACTAGTCTCAGATTTTACTCAGAATAAAAGGCCCATTCGATGTGATTTTACATGGATTTTACACTGCATGCCATTGGTAACAAATACCTACTGCTCATTTTTATACACCTGCCATCTAGTGGTCATATAAAACTATACAGCATTAGATGCACATTTGATCACTGTGTTAATGCATAATCTGTTTCAAAGCAATATCCTATGCCAACAACAAGCATAACTCCTGCCAAATATTTCTGTGTACCCCGTCCACCGAGGAAACGCCGAACAACTTTCTTTCTTTCAACATTATTTAGGGGAAAACTGTTTCCATGCACAAATGAGGGGTTTCCATTCAGTTTCGGGAAAAGTTATAATTTCGTAAGAGATTAGTTCCAGATTTGGGATTAAGTAGTGCCCAAACTGGTGAACCCACTGTCATAAAAAAAAACTTTCCGGTGGGATTGTATTGGATATAATCTTTTCTAAATCAAACTAATATGTGGGGGAAAGTATTTTACTCAATTGAGGACATTCAAAACTTTGCAAGCATCAGAGCTCCCTAAATACTCAGAACTCCTTGGGGCTTTAAAAAGGTGCCGACGTGTTCAGATCATCCCGTCCCAAACTCATGCCATTGGTTGAGTGCTAACTTCAAGGTTTCTGATTGGCTTACTGGCGCGGTCATATACTTTCTCGTTCTGAGAAAAGTATGATTTCTTTGAGTATTTTTTTTATAATAACATTTCACAGACTGTAGGGCCAGCATTTTTTTTTTATGTCAGCTGATGTTTTGATGGTGGCTTCGTCGTCTGTGTATACCTCCCTCGCGCACGGACTCTGTAAGATCTCTCCGCCCCTGACTCACGAACCGACTCAAAAATTGTCTCTGGAGAGAGTCAGCTCATTTTCTTTCAAGCAGAGTTCATTGTGATCGCAGGTCGAAAGGATGACAGCCCGAGTGTACTGCACTGTGTTATTGTGTTTGTCTGGATGCTGGAGCTCATCAGAAGCTGCTCCAGGACGAAACTTCACAGGTGAGATCCATGTTCTTTTAACTTAATACGCAGCCCGAAGAAATACATTAAACAAGTGCCTTACATAACACGACATCTCAGCACATTACAATTCTCAAACATACAGAGTATAGACGTCCAGTGAAAGATTAACTTTGTACATCAGTTAAATTTAAATAATTAATATAAAGGTATATGTTAAATTGTCATACTGTACAAAAGTTAACTTTTATGTTTTATCTATGCTATTAATTTATAGGCAATGTGTGTGTGTGTGTGTATTTCCCATTGTACAGGAAAAACACGCATAGACAATTTTATTTATATTTAATATTAAAGAGACAATATGTAAGCATTTTGTATCAAAAGATCCAAAAAACCACTTGCGCAGTGTTATATATTTCTTTTAATTATGTACTTACATTATCCTAAATGTTTACAAGAATTTGTAAATTCAGAGAAATTCACAATTTTAAATGGTGCCCGTCCCTTGTCACTTGTCGCCTGTCAATGACGTATTATCTGCGTTATCCCTGGTTTCCGCTTTTACTGCCATAGTAACCATGGTGACAGATGTGGACAACTGCGTAATGTTTAGAGGCCCGCTGTTGTTGTTTCGTTCAAACATTATGGATCATGGCAAGCAGACTTTGGGACAAAAGGAGAACTAAAACGAGGATCAATATTGGCGTAGTGTTTTTGAGATGCCAAGAGCAAACTTTGACTTGACAGAGACACCGCTCTTGCATGTGCTTTATTAGACAGGTGAGCAAATGTACATAAAACAAATCAGTGTTATATAGCTCAACATGATAAAATGTTAGAATATGATCAGTATCATGTTATTCTAATTTTGATTTAGCTTACTGCTAGTCTCATATAGCAACAAACTAACACATAGAATAACATTACTTTCAACACACTCAAATGCTCTTTAGTGTGATAGTGTAACATTAGACCAAGTGAAACAGCGCTGCTTTACCTCACAAGTTTAATTAGTTAAATAAACTGACCTGTGTGAGTAGTAATTCAGCACTTGTGGGTGGTTCGATAGAATTAAATTTCCTCATTCCTTTACATCCACGGGATTCGCTTGTGTCGCTGATATCTGTCTCTCATTAGCAATCGCACCCTGCTTCATACCATGTTAAAAAAACATGCATGTTTTTACTCATCCATAAACATTATTAGATCCATCAGCATGACGACAAGCTCCATGATTCCACTTATCACTGCGTCATAAATCTACGCCTTTGTTATTGTAAGAGATTAGCACCCCTAGTGGCGAAAAAAATACATATTGTAGCTTTAAATGTTTTGTATTTTCTTTCTTAACAACAACTATTATACAATATAAAATGAGGTGGTAATTATAACTTATTCAATAAAAGTCTGATCATATGGGTTTAATGTATTCAGTCCATTTATTCAGTAACAGTGGCTGTTTCAGAGGAGTAGGATCCAGATGCAGCAAACAATTATTTAAACAAACATAATAAAAGTAAATCCAGGCAAAACTGATAAATCCAGACACCGGCAAGAAAAGCCAACAAAACTGACACCAAGCGCACATATAACATCCATAGAAGGACAACACCAGACAAAGAACATGAGAATCACTGGGGAACATATACGCAAGGGGTGATTGGCAAACAAGACACACCTGGGAACTATCAGGAACTAATCAACAAGAACAACAGGACTACAAAACATGGTTCAAAACAAGAAATAACATAATAAATAAATCCACATAAGACCAGGGGAACACAAGACAAGGAGTGGATTTCAGACGCTCCTCAACAAACAGACAAATAATTACAGGTGGGAGGTGGAACAGGGGGAGGGATGGAGGGCCAGGCCAGTGTGGTGGAACTGGAGATTGAGGAGGATCAGGGAGCCAGGGTGGAGCCAGAAGAATGGGTAACCAGGGCAGAGCAGGTGGCCAGTGCAGAGCTGGAGATCACCAAAGCAAAGCAGATGGGGCTGAAGACCCCCATCGTAGAGAAGGCAGAGCTGATGACCAGCACAGCGGAGCTGCCGGGGCTGAAGACCCCCATCCTAGAGAAGGCAGAGCTAATGACCACCACAGCGGAGCTGCCGGGGCTGAAGAACCCCATCGTAGAGAAGGCAGAGCTGATGACCACCACAGCGGAGCTGCCGGGGCTGAAGACCCCCATCCTAGAGAAGGCAGAGCTAATGACCACCACAGCGGAGCTGCCGGGGCTGAAGAACCCCATCGTAGAGAAGGCAGAGCTAATGACCACCACAGCGGAATTGCCAGGGCTGAAGACCCCCATCGTAGAGAAGGCAGAGCTGATGACCAGCACAGTAGAGCTGCCAGGGCTGAAGACCCCCATCGTAGAGAAGGCAGAGCTAATGACCACCACAGCGGAGCTGCCGGGGCTGAAGACCCCCATCCTAGAGAAGGCAGAGCTAATGACCACCACAGCGGAGCTGCCGGGGCTGAAGAACCCCATCGTAGAGAAGGCAGAGCTAATGACCACCACAGCGGAATTGCCAGGGCTGAAGACCCCCATCGTAGAGAAGGCAGAGCTGATGACCAGCACAGCGGAGCTGCCAGGGCTGAAGACCCCCATCGTAGAGAAGGCAGAGCTGATGACCACCACAGAGGAGCTGCCAGGGCTGAAGACCCCCATCGTAGAGAAGGCAGAGCTGATGACCACCACAGTGGAGCTGCCAGGGCTGAAGACCCCCATCGTAGAGAAGGCAGAGCTGATGACCAGCACTGCGGAGCTGCCAGGGCTGAAGACCCCCATCGTAGAGAAGGCAGAGCTGATGACCATCACAGAGGAGCTGCCAGGGCTGAAGGCCCCCACCGTAGAGAAGGCAGAGCTGATGACCACCACAGCGGAGCTGCCAGGGCTGAAGACCCCCATCGTAGAGAAGGCAGAGCTGATGACCACCACAGCGGAGCTGCCAGGGCTGAAGACCCCCATCGTAGAGAAGGCAGAGCTAATGACCACCACAGCGGAATTGCCAGGGCTGAAGACCCCCATCGTAGAGAAGGCAGAGCTGATGACCAGCACAGTAGAGCTGCCAGGGCTGAAGACCCCCATCGTAGAGAAGGCAGAGCTGATGACCACCACAGCGAAGCTGCCAGGGCTGAAGACCCCCATCGTAGAGAAGGCAGAGCTGATGACCACCACAGAGGAGCTGCCAGGGCTGAAGACCCCCATCGTAGAGAAGGCAGAGCTGATGACCACCACAGTGGAGCTGCCAGGGCTGAAGACCCCCATCGTAGAGAAGGCAGAGCTGATGACCAGCACTGCGGAGCTGCCAGGGCTGAAGACCCCCATCGTAGAGAAGGCAGAGCTGATGACCATCACAGAGGAGCTGCCAGGGCTGAAGGCCCCCACCGTAGAGAAGGCAGAGCTGATGACCACCACAGCGGAGCTGCCAGGGCTGAAGACCCCCATCGTAGAGAAGGCAGAGCTGATGACCACCACAGCGGAGCTGCCAGGGCTGAAGACCCCCATCGTAGAGAAGGCAGAGCTAATGACCACCACAGCGGAGCTGCCAGGGCTGAAGGCCCCCACCGTAGAGAAGGCAGAGCTGATGACCACCACAGCGGAGCTGCCAGGGCTGAATACCCCCATCGTAGAGAAGGCAGAGCTGATGACCACCACAGCGGAGCTGCCAGGGCTGAAGACCCCCATCGTAGAGAAGGCAGAGCTGATGACCAGCACAGCGGAGCTGCCAGGGCTGAAGACCCCCATCGTAGAGAAGGCAGAGCTGATGACCAGCACAGCGGAGCTGCCAGGGCTGAAGACCCCCATTGTAGAGAAGGCAGAGCTGATGACCAGCACAGCAGAGCTGCCAGAGCTGAAGACCCCCATCGTAGAGAAGGCAGAGCTGATGACCAGCACAGCGGAGCTGCCAGGGCTGAAGACCCCCACCGTAGAGAAGGCAGAGCTGATGACCAGCACAGCGGAGCTGATGACCCCCACCGTAGAGAAGGCAGAGCTGATGACCAGCACAGTGGAGCTGAAGACCCCCACCGTAGAGAAGGCAGAGCTGATGACCAGCACAGTGGAGCTGAAGACCCCCACCGTAGAGAAGGCAGAGCTGATGACCAGCACAGTGGAGCTGAAGACCCCCACCATAGAGAAGGCAGAGCTAATGACCAGCACAGTGGAGCTGAAGACCCCCACCATAGAGAAGGCAGAGCTGATGACCATCACAGAGGAGCTGCCAGGGCTGAAGGCCCCCACCGTAGAGAAGGCAGAGCTAATGACCAGCACAGCGGAGCTGATGACCCCCACCGTAGAGAAGGCAGAGCTGATGACCAGCACAGCGGAGCTGCCGGGGCTGAAGACCACCACTGTGTAACTGAGGACCACCATGATAGAGCAGACTCGACAGAAGATCCCCACGGTGGAACTGGTGACCACCATGGCGAAGCAGGCGGAACTGTAGAAAAGGGTACCGCAAGGTTAGGGTTGGCTTCTTGGGCAGTGTCAGTACTGAACAGGCAGAAAGTTCAGTAATGGCCTCCATTGCCATAACAGAGCAGGCAGGACATCCAGGGGTAATGTCAATTCCAAAGTAGGCAAAATCTTTAATCCTGTCCTCCTCGACTGTGACGCTGGAAATTAGAACGACCTCTCTGGCCGAGACGAGACAGGAAGTTCAGGGGCAACCTCTGTGGCTGTATCTAGACAGTTAGGAATTTCACGGACAACCTCCGTGGTTGTGTCAGGGCAATCTGAAAATCTCCATGATGGCTGGAGACTCTAGCGTGACGACCATGACGGTTAGAGACTCTTGAGTGGCCGCCATGACAGTTGGAGACTCTGGGTGGCGGCCATGACGGTTTGAGACTCTGGGTGGCGGCCATGACGGTTTGAGACTCTGGAGTGGCCGCCATGACGGTTGGAGACTCTGGAGTGGCCGCCATGACGATTTAAAACTCTAGCGTGGCCACCATGACGGTTGGAGACTCTGGAGTGGCCGCCATGACGGTTGGAGACTCTGGCGTGGCCGCCATGACGGTTGGAGACTCTGGAGTGGCCGCCATGACGATTGGAGACTCTGGCGTGGCCGCCATGACGGTTTGAGACTCTGGAGTGGCCGCCATGACGGTTGGAGACTCTGGAGTGGCCGCCATGACGATTTAAAACTCTGGCGTGGCCGCCATGACGGTTGGAGACTCTTGAGTGGCCGCCATGACGGTTGGAGACTCTGGGTGGCGGCCATGACGGTTTGAGACTCTGGAGTGGCCGCCATGACGGTTGGAGACTCTGGAGTGGCCGCCATGACGATTTAAAACTCTAGCGTGGCCGCCATGACGGTTGGAGACTCTTGAGTGGCCGCCATGACGGTTGGAGACTCTGGTGTGCTGAGCGGCTCAGATAGTCCCCCCATGGTTAAAATAAAATAAGGGTGTTGAAGGGGTTGGCATTACAATTATTTTGACTGATACAATTGGCTACAACTCTTGTTAAACACTTTTTTATATGACATTAATTGACACAGTTTAGGGATACAGTAGATTTCTAAACTACTTACAAAACCACTGACTTAAAGATGCTGAAACAAACTATTTCAAACTAATGATGATCTTTCTGTAGTGGTCGATCACTGTCCGGGGAAGCTGATGGTCGTGCCGTCCAGTCGAGGATGTGTTTCTGATAGAGACTGCTCTGGAGGACACAGATGCTGTATATTTGACTGTGGGGCTGTGTGTGTGCCGCCTGCTTTCAGTGAGTTCAAATGAGAAATGGATAATAATACTAGATGTCTTTCAAAAGGGACACGGGGAAAAAATTGGACAGTTTGAAAAAAAAAAGATGTTTAGATCAGAAATTGCTAATAAAGTTAAAAAATAATTACAAGAAAACAGTAAGTAACACATAATAAAACATACATTTTAAAGTAGAAAGACTGAAATAGTTTTTTCTTGTAAAACCTATTCCAATAATATGTAAAACTTAAAAAAAAAAAATATTGCATTCAGCATTTAGTGATATGGTTTCTTTGTCATGCGTCTGTATAACAGCAAAGCCAGGAATGTGTCCACGCAGAAAATTTGGAGCAGGAGTGTGTGCTGAGTACTGTGTCAATGACAGTGATTGTCCCAACAATGAGAAATGCTGCAGCAATGGATGTGGACATGAATGTACTGCTCCATATACAGGTATTATATTATATTATATTATATTATATTATATTATATTATATTATATTATATTATATTATATTATATTAAACACTTTACAATAAGGTTCCAATACATTTTTTACAGGATTTATTAATCTTTATTAACTTTAATAAAAATACAGGTGTTAGTTCATGTCAGCTCAGATCCATTAAATATTATTAACATATACAACTTTTGATTTTAATAATGTAATAGTATATGGTAAAATTAACATTAATACATGTTTTAGAAGTATTTTTCATTGTCAGTTCATTTTAGCTATTATAGTTAAATAATGTAAACAAATGGATTGTAAAGTGTTACCATATTATTCTATTCTATTCATGTTTGGGTCAGCTTTCTCATTGCCTTTTAGTTTATCTTATTTAATAATAAGTATGATTTTTTTTTAAGTATTAACTATTAACTAAGTATTAACTATGCCAAAAGTACACGAATTAGGCCTATAGCACCGGTTTAGGCAGACGGTGGTTTTACAAAAGATGAATTATAATACTTAGAATGCAATTCACTCTGTAAGTAAAACTAAGAAAACTAAGTGTTTTGTATGGTAGCTTGTTTCCCCCACTGAATAAAAAATAAAATTGCGATCTGACAATTCAGACTTTTTTTCCCATGCAATTGCGAGTTGAAATCTCGCAATTGTGACTTTTTTCTCAGAATTGCGTAATATAAACTCGCAATTGTGAGTTATAAAGTCTTTCTTTCCTCAGAATTGGACTTTATAACTCACAATTCTGACTTTTTTTTCTCGCAATTCTGACTTTTTCCTCACAATTATGAGAAAAATAGTCAGATTTTTGAGACAAAAAGTCATGATTATCTTTTACATTTTTTATTCCGTGGCAGAAACAAGCTTCTATTTTTTTGTGCTGTAGCCTACATCAGAGGCTGAATGCCACTAAATTGCCTGACTAAAGCTCAATATCTCCATTCATGCAGTGAAGCCTGGTCGATGTGCCCTACCGAAGGGGACTCCAATGTGTGCCGAATACTGTTACCATGATGGTCAGTGCCCTGCTGAACAGAAATGCTGCCCAACCACCTGTGGTCATGCATGCGGCGAACCTTGCTGATTTAACCACCATAAAGTTTACTGAGATCAATTTTGCATAATAATACATAGGCTACTTGAGTTATTTTACTTAAATCAATTTAGTGCTTTATTCTTAGGGGATGTTTTCCCTCTTTGTAACCACCAAATAAAACATCATAGTTTTAGTAAACCTTCTTTTAGTGTTGAGTTTTTTGGCCATGAAAAAAACAAAGAAAATTGCTTCATTGAAGAGTTGGTATTTTTTGGTATGCCAGTGTTCATTTGGATGTTCTCTTCTCACATAACAGCTCATTGGCATCAGTGCTTAGGAATGTACTAGTTCCCCTCCCCGAGACCCAAACACGTGCAAAACATTTTGTAATGAAAGAGACCTCTGTTACCATCCGCTCTAGGAGCTTGGCAGCAAAAGTGTCAAAACAATTGTCACTGTCAGCAAAACATGACAGTGATGGAAAAGCCTTGAACTAAAAGTACTAAGCTACCAGAAATTAATCGATCAAAGAATGCAAGTTAACGCTGTACTTTTGGCAATTTAGTCGCATAAAGAGAAAAGAAGTGGAAAAATGAAAGAAATTTGTGCTGAACCGAGGTTAGTTTGCATCAGCTTCCAGGAATGTGAACAGACTTTGAATTTGGAAGGAAACAATGTTTAGCCTACATCCTGTGTTTAAGAAAGACAACATTTGAGTGAAGTCAAGTCACCTTTATTTATATAGCGCTTTATATACGTAAAACTTCAAATAATAGCCGAGTCCCAAATAGACGGCTGTCTCTTTTACACGCCTGGTGTGGCTGCAGGTTTGGGGCCGGTCTCAAATAGAGGCCGGGTCTGTTTTTTTAGTTTTGGGTTGTATTTAATCTTATAAAAACCCGTCAGATCGTCCGCTTTTTGGCGGCCGGCAAAGCAAATTTTTGTCCCGCCAAAGCCTTTTTTGATCGGTGAGTGATGTAGAATAGAGACTGCGCTTGACAGGGCGCAAACGAGCAGAGAGAGAGTGAGAGCGCCCCGGCCGCGCGCGCGCACACTCACGTCTTCAAACAACATGAGCGCTGTCTTGCTCTCTCTCCCTCGCGCATATTAATCAAAATCAATGGACACGATAGTAAAAGGTCGGAAGACCGCAGTTTCACGTGGAGCATTTAAAGATTTTTAGAGATTAGAGACTCTAGGCCTACACTCAATGAACAACATCTCAACAAATTATAAAGGCCGGTCTCATATAGACGCCTGTCTCAAATACAAGCCGGTGCAGTTCGACGATTTGGGAAAATAAAAGCCCGGGCTATTATTTGAAGTTTTACGGAATTGAAAATTGTTTCAAAGCAGCTTTACAGTGATAACAGGAAAATTATGCATTTCGGCTGTTGTTCAGCTTAAGTCAGTTCAGTGTGGATTCAGTTCCGTTGTAAAGATGATCAATTATTAAATTAGTTCTCTAGAAAGCAGTTCTGTAAAAAAATTATGTCATCGCCCAGCTCAGTCCAGATCTCATACAACAGAATCAGTACAGTCAGATCAACAATATTGTTGAAATTAAGTGTCCCCAACTAAGCAAGGCAGTCAGCAGTGGCAAGGAACCCAAACTCCATCAGGTGACAGAATGGAGAAGAAAAAAGAAAACCTTGGGAGAACACGGTGTCATTATGATTCAGGCTGCATCACAAGTCAGAATTCAAATATTCATCCAGTTCCTTTTGCTTGAAGAGCGATTCTTCACCCGGTATGGCATGTCAACGAGGTCTTCACAGGGGATTGTCTAGGATACATGGTCTTTGCTGACATTCAGGACTGCGTTTTTGTCGCGTCTAGGTGCAGGTCCACCATCTGATCTGGATCCGGCTGACTACGTCAGTAACCTCGGGATGAGGATGAGACAGACAGACTATTAGCGTATGCCATTCTTCTTACTTTGTAACGAGTACATCAGGGGTTATAGGAAGTATTCCTGGTTACGGTTTCCCTAATTTTATACGCCCTAACAATCATTTAGATTTTGATATTTGTTATTTAGAGTGATATTTGATTCAAACTTAACATTTGATCCTCATATCCAGAACACAGTTAAAGTATAATTTTTTCACCTCAGAAACATTGCAAGACTGCGCCTCATGTTATCTTTCTCTGAAAAACTGATCAACATGTTTGTTTTTTCTCGCATCGACTATTGTAATGCTCTGCTCACTGGGGTCTCTAAATCAACTCTAAATAAATTGCAGAATGTTCATAACTCAGCTGCCAGAATCCTGACAAGGTCCAGGACAAGTGAGCACATCACTCCAATCTTGGAGTCCTTGCTCTGGCTTCCTGTCAGGTTTTGCATAGATTTAAAAATTCTCATGCTTACCTACAAGGCCCTGCATGATTTATCACCAGAATACCTGTCTGAACTATTAACTGTCTACACCCCAACGCGTAATCTCCGCTCTTCTGATTCTGGCTTTTTAATTATTCATGCAACTCGTTCACGCTATGGGTGACCGGGCTTTTTCTTCTTTGGCTCCAAAGTTGTGGAATTCTCTACCCACTGAGATTAGACATGCTGAATCCTTTAGTGTTTTTAAATCTTCTCTTAAAACAATTTTTTTTTTCTGGCTATAGCATATATGTGTCTGGCCAGAATTTTGAGATCGCAATAGACGTGAAGGACTATAATGCATTAAGAGCTCACTCAAGTACTGAGGAGATAAACCATTAAGTGCTTTGTAAGTAATTAGCAAGATTTTAAAATGTATGTGATGTTTAATAGGGAGCCAATGCAGTGTTGACAGAACTGGGCTAATATGGTCATACTTCCTGGTTCTAGTAAGAACCCTAGCTGCTGTGTTATGGACCTGCTGGAATTTGTTTATTAAGTGTCCAGGGCAACCACCCAGTAGAGCATTACAATAATCTAGCCTTGAGGTCATGAACACATGAAAAGATTATTGAATATATGTATATATATATATAGAGAGAGAGAGAGGGAGAGAAAGAGAGAGAGAGAGAGTAGCCCTGGCATTTACAAATCCCACTTGTCCAAAATCTCATTCATAACCACAGATTGAACATCAATCTCTTCTGATTGGCTGGGATTGTATCATATTTACAGCAGTTTCACACACTTGCGTCTGCAGTGCCAGGCAAAAATAGGTACGCTGATGCTGGTACTACTTGGATAATCTGATTTAATCAGTGGTACTTTTAGTTTAAGAACAAGTGAGTTATTACAAATCTGTTCAACTACATTACCTGCATATATTACAAACTACCATGTCAAATAACAGATAACAGAAGGATTTACAGTCAGCGAACGAGCCAATGCAGAGACTCTTTCACATACATAAATTCAAACAGAATGGCACAGATGAGGGGGATAAAAAACATTACATTCTTCCTCAAAATCCCTCGTTCTCAACACGTTATGGGTTTCCAGTCAGTTTATTATAGGAAAGTTAACAAGTGTTAAAGAGCTGCTTCTGGATTTGAATACAATAACACCCGGAGGTCATTATGGGGTCAGCCCACAGGCAAATGTATGAAAATAAAGGCAAAACACTAAAAACAGTCCAGTGCTTCAAAACAACACATATTTGAATATCAGTGCATTACAGAAAGTGGACAATACTTGCCACATTCTTAGACATCCATTTTCAGCAGCTGGGTTGTAGTGTCTGTGTTTCTGTGAAACTTGGTCACGCTCTCAAAGGGGTGGTGTAAACTGAAATGACAAAATTCAAAATCTTCCATGTATATTTCTCCCATATGCCTGAAAACCACACAGTTCCTTTGAAAAAAGTTCACATAAATGCAAGCTATGGTTTTCTAAAAAAAAAAAAAAAAAACACTGCAAAAAAATGTCTTTGCTTATGTGTTTTCGACAAAACAATAATAATAAAAAAAGTGGCTAATCCATCTGTCTTGGAAGCCCATTTGTTCAACCAAAGTTCAGAACAGTCACTTGGCATCGAGTCCTTCCAGGGCTAAAAAGAATCTTTAAACTCCAGCAGATGCCGTTTTAGAGTCATTATTCTCTCAGCTGCCTAATATGGACATTTCAGGCATCAGACCTGCTCTCGGCAAACTTGCCTTGCCTTATGCGGTGAACGAGGTTGGCCAACCGTTTGGCCAGCGTAGGACTCGGTTAATCCTGGAACGTGCGGGTCAGGGAGTTGTAAAAGGAGCCATGACCACCGTGCAGGTGAGGCAGATGACGTTGTAGGGCATGCTGAAGTCAGACGTGGGTAGATTTACCAGCAGGGGTTCGGTGTACACTCGCACAAAGTAGCTCGATTCTTCTTTAACTTCCCACTGGAAGTCAGAGGTGAAAAGTTATAAAGAACCAAAACAAATAAGGTACACTTATTTACTATTAACACCAAGGCCAGGTTATACATACAAACTAAATGCTCCACAATGAAACAAGATGCATTAGGAGTCGGGGGTGAAAACTTTTTGAATTTGAAGATCAAGGTAAATTGTACTTAATTTGTCTTCCGGGAAACATGTACAGTAAGTATCTTCTGTTGCTTCCGGAAGGCAGTACTAAATAAAAACAAAATTATATTTAAACAAAATAAGAAAATTTTGAACATCTTCAATTTTTCGACAGAGTAGCAGTAGCATCGACTCTACATACGGCATATTTGTACATATTTGCAGCACAGCAAAGTACGCAATGCTTGTTCCCGTTATCTCAGGGAACCAAGGTTACGTTAGTTACCGGAATTTTCCCTTTTGATATGGTTCACTCACATTACATCAAAGTTTTTCTCTCGACGCTATGGGGTACGCACTGCAAAGCGCTGTGCTACTAGCGCAGAACGGAAGCCATCCTGCGAGGCCATAGCCTGGGGCGCTTGAGGACAAGGCAGGCTACTAGAGTCAGGGACTTAGCATGTCCAAAAAGGGCAGGTGGGAATGATGTCACTTAAAGAAACCCCAAAGGGTGGCCGACTAGGCAGAAAGAATCCATGCCTGAAGGGCAGGGATGTTTAGGTTATAAAACCTGGCAAAGGTGGACGGGGAGGCACTATAGCATCAACTATCCAGTGGGACAGCCTCTTGTTCATAATTGGCAGACCTTTAGAGCGGCTTCTGAAGCATACAAACAGCTGCCCTGTTTGCCTGAATTGGCTAGAGCACTCAATGTACACCCTAAGGGCCTGAACCGGGCAAAGTGGCTGTGGCATCTGCT